CCAGAAATTGGAATTCTAATTAGCCAAATCGACCCTAAAATTACCTAATATGGTAATAATATTTTTCTGGAAAATTGAAATAATTCGGCTCATAATAGCTCAAATTAACCTCTTAATTTAGTATCAAGATTCCAGAACTAGTTATGGACTTCTAGACAGCAGTTAAGGATTAGTAGCAGGACCGGCATCTTGATATTCAAGTTCTTGTTGTGTTTCTTCCAGCAATTACTCTCTCTGATTCATGGCAAATAGTTTGTATTTTCACCTGTAATTTGGCAGGTAATTGGACAAGCAATTATTGGGTTGGTTTTGGTGGTACAATTGCATAATAAAGAGAGTTTATTTATTGGGTTAAGGCTTGTATTAACTGTACAACGATCAAAAGCTTATCAAAAGCTTGTAGATTAGTCATTTCACAACATATGCCACTATCAAACTCATAAACTTTTGTTCTAAGACAATGCACAAACTACTTCTAACCCTCTTTATTATCAGTACTGTCGTTACATGCATTGTCCAAACTTCGCAACAACAAGCAACCCAGCAACTATTGCGGCATTTTGGTCTTTCAGTAAAGAGTCCTAACCTGACTATAGAGCTAGATAAGCCCGAGCTAGGCAAAACCCATGAGATTCTATATCTGTTTGACAATCCCACGAAGCAAGGACTATTCCTAAAGAGACTAACAAAGATTACTTTGTGCAGCACAACATCTGACAAGCTCCCCGACTCAATTATTCTTCTCTCTTTAGCTATATTACTTCGAACTGAGAAGATAACGCAGCTAACCATCAACAATTTATTCATCGGAGAGAACCTCAGCTATAACACCCCCGACACCAATCCATTAAGCAGTCTCGTATTCCGGATTGCTTTTATCAAATCATCGGAAAACCTCATCCGCTTTGTTCTAGCTACTTATTGCTTTGACAAGGAAGCAATTATAGATATAGACAAGACTCATCTATTCAGTGACAGTACTCTTGATCTTCTCCTAACCCATCGAACCAGGCGGTTTAAACTAGCACTTCAATCACTTGATAGTTTTCTCTCGGTGCCCAAAGTTGCCAGTCAAATAGATATCGTCACTAAGTCAACCAGCACCGCCAACTACAATATATTCGAAGCCAAAATGTCCATTCAGGTCTTTCTAGCCCACAAGTTCTTGCAAGCTATACTTGACTTTATATTTGAATGCAACGACCGCCTAGCTTTTGATAGTATAAACCGCATCGATCTAACCGAAATACGGACCTTAAAAATAGAGATCGATGGAGACACCCACCATTTATTAAGTCAAGACATAGTCCAAGCCAACACACAACCTGCGGCCATCACAACTTTTAAAAGCATTATATTACTACAATACCACCACAACTTCAACCATCTTCTATCTCCAAAGCTTTTAGGCGAGCTGATCACTTGGGTATATATTACTTTCCCTAATGCCGATAAAATAGAACACTACAAGCCTAACATTTATCGAAGCATGCACAAGCAACTAACCAACACACCTATTTTTGTACATGGTTTTCCTAACGACACCGTAGTCCGTACACTCAGCCTTTTCAATATTGACGAAACCGGCCGCCGGCCCACCATAGCAAAGCACAACCAAGCGAGCCCACTTCAACGCGACTTTCTCAATCATTTCGAGATCAAGCATATCTTTATTCCCGAACCCACACCCACACCCACGCCCAACTCCAACCCAGCAATCGCACCCAGCGACCCAGCACCAACCAAACCCACATTACCCCTCCACCCATCCGCATTTGTCTTCTCCAATGGTCTCATCCAGCGACTATTACTTTCTTCCCAGAACTCGGCACTCTACCATCAGTTCTTCGAACGTTTCCCTAGTTTAGCGCTAATCCATGCTCTAACTCGCCTGCGCCAAGCCAAACACTACTACCACTATAACGAAGCTGCCATCACTAACTATGCCACAAGTGCTTGCAGTATCTGTGCGTGGGAAAATCGCAATGGCTCAGAACTCCTTCTTTCCCACCTCAGTCAATTTGTCGTCCTTCCTTGTGGATGCTATGTTTGCCCCATGTGTCTAAGCAACCATCTCTTAAACCTACCCAATCACACTAAACTCAAACACTACGGCAAGCTCGATCCAAGCACCATCGCCATCTATAAACTCTATATTAAAGAAGACACCTCTGGCGAATCCATCAACGTATCGGCCATACAATCCCAAGAAATCAACTCACAAGTCATGGTCGAAAGAATTGATCTAGCTACGCTGCAATACCTATTCTCCATCAACAAAAACTGCGACCTAAACAGAGCCACCTATCCACCCCTTCCTTTATGTATTTGCCAGGACATTACCCCAATCAATATCTTCGCTCCCGACACTCTCCAGTCCGCCCCCCAGCCTATCCCTTCTAACCCCATCCCAATGCGTACATTCATACCTTTCGAGCCGCCTGGTATTTGGCCATAGGCCATACAGTCTCACATGAAAGTCATAGCCGATAAGTTTATCTTCTTACAAAGACCTATTGATTATCAAAATGACGTATTATAGCCAATTACTTACTTGCCAATATCTACAGATAAGGAATGTCAACAATCATTTCCTTACGCATAAATAGAGTGCGTTTTGAATAAGTTACGATAGTTTATGACTGACCTTACCAAGAAACAACTCCCTCATTAATCTCATCCTCATCTCCAATTCCTTAACAGCACCTCACCTCACCCCAACTTAACTCAACACAACACAACACAACCCAATACCAACACAACCCATCTCATCTCAACTCAATACCAACACAACACCAACTTAACACAACTCAATTTAAACTAACTAAGTTCTTGTTTATTTCTTAGCCGGATTGATCCTACCCGCCTTGAAATGCAAAATATCACCATTAGCCACGGCATAGTCTTTGCCTTTCATCTTGCACAATCCTAAGCTCTTAACCTTCTGCTCACACCCATGCTCAATAATATCAGCATAAGAGATCACATCAACGGCTACAAAGCCCTGCTTAAAGTCCGAATGAATCACCGCACCAGCATCCGGGGCCAAAGTCCCCTCCCGAATTGTCCAACTATGCACCTCTTCCGGCCCACAAGTAAAGAAGTTACTTAACTCTAAGGACGCATACCCAGCCGCAATTGTTTTCGTCAAGTACCCATTAGTCTCTTCTGCATCCGCTAAACCCGCACTCACTAGTACTAAAGGTGCACCCGGATCGGCCACTGCTAAATGCCTCGCCAATTTACCAGCTAAAGAGGGTACTTTCTTACGCAAGAACATTTCACTACTAATATTAGCCAAATAAACAACATTCTTAGCCGTTATCAAATTCAAAGGTTTTAAAGCTCTAATCTCTTCACTCGTAAAGTCAATTGCACGAGCATCTTGACCCGCCTCTAAACCACTCATTAACTTCTCCAAAGAACTTACCAGTAGTTTTACCTGCTTATCATTGCTTTTAGCTTTCAATTGCTTCTTGGCACTCTCTAAATGCGACTGACAATCAGCTAAGTCCTTCAGCCGTAACTCATGGCCAATCACCGTACAATCACGAACTGGATCGACTGAATCATCTACGTGCACAATCGAGTCATCTTCAAAGCAGCGCACAACATGGTAAATTCCATCCACCTGCCGAATATTCTCTAAAAACCGATTGCCCAAACCCAAGCCTTCTGAAGCTCCTTTTACCAAACCAGCAATATCAAAGACAGTAAGATAAGCAGGCACTCTTTTCTTTGATTTATAGATAGCCATTAATTGGTCCATTCTAGGGTCTTTAATAGCCACTTTAGCTTCCGATGGATCGATAGTGCAAAAGGCATAGTTCTGAGCAGGCACTTGTTGCTCAGTCATTATATTGAATAAAGAGGACTTGCCAACATTAGGCAGCCCAACAATTCCCATAGTTAAGTTATGCGTACTAGTTCGACCAAATTTAGCTTTAGATCGCGCGATTTCATCTGATTTCTTACGTGGAATAGTACTCATGCAGCCAAATTTTTTAGGGGATGTCTTTAAACCAGCCTGGCTTGAAGCTTTTGAAGACTTTAGAGAGATATGCGGCAGTGATTAAGCAAGAGGAATTGATTTTGCCACCTTCTGATTTTGATACGAAAGTTTGTGATATTCTAACAACCATTAAACAAATAGAAGAAACGATTAGTATTTCTGATAGCTTACTTATCCAAGAAATTGAAAAGATCTTAGATACAGTTCATAAAACTTGTGCACATGATGATAAACATAAAGTTTCTCTAGGCGGTCAACCAAAAACAGTTCTATTTACCCATCAGGATAAGAAGTTCATTCTAGCCAAGAACATTCCTCGCCCCCAGATTGATTTCAAAGATCGTGAAAACAAGTACACTTTAACGGCTGTTTTAGGACCCGATCCCGTTCTTACCCAGCATATGCCCTTAACTCCAGCCGAGGCCTACCAATTATATACGGCAGCTACGCAAGCACCTAGTTTAACCCATGCTGCAGTTAGTATCATTCGTAAACCCGAGCAGTTACAAGCCACTAACCAACTCTTAATGCAATGTCCTTTAGTAGCTATTGATATCAAAAAACATACTTTCCGTAGTTATAAAGGGTTTATTTGTTATTTACAGATAGCTACACCCCAGCAGATTTATTTAGTAGATATGATTACTTTACGCGATCAAGTAGGAACACTTACTTTTCTAAGTACGCCCAGTGTTGGTAAAGTCGTTTACCGTCTGCCTCCTAAGCGTTACTGGCTGGAAAAAGAAGGATACCCAATACTACGCGGAGCCGTGGATTTACAAGTCTTCTCTGAAGCGGTCGTCCCGGGTCTATCCCTAACCCAAATGGGCCAGACGTACTTAGGCGAACACTTGCCCAAACAGTTCCACTTACTGGACTGGAGATACCGACCGGCCACTCAAGAAATGGTTAGCCAACTAGTCCAGGATGTCCAAACTATTCTACCCATCTTTACCCAATTGGCCAGTCAACTCGGTCTGGAGAGTTTCAGCCATCTTTGCCAAACCAGCCAAGAGTACGTCCCACCAACTCCCTCAGTAACTTACTTCGCCCAAAAGTACTCAATTCCAATTAGTCCAGCTCTAACAGCCATCTTTACTCTGCGGGAATTCATTGCGAAACAAGAAGACGAAAGTCCCGACTTTGTGCTAACCAATCGCCAAATGTGTCTCTTACTCAAACACTTACCTACTACTCCCCAAGAAGTCTTCACTATCTTACCAAAAATAAGTCCTTTATTTAAAGCTAACCTTAACAACTTTCTTCGCGTCCTTCATCCGGATGACCGCCACCAATCATTTAGTATGGCCATGCTCAAGAATACCACCAATTAACAGCTTAGCTGCCTAATTTGGCCTATTTATTAAATTTTGCTTGATAGTCTATGGATAAGCGTACTTCGAGTGCTTCTAAGTCAAGTACAACTACTTTTATGTTTGTCCCATGGGTTATTTATTACTTACTAGCCGCCACAGTCTTTCTTGATGCTTTTCATGCCGGCTGGTCGACTTCTTTGCCATTTAGTATGACGAATGATCCGAAGATGTATTTTATCTTTGTGTTTACATATCTATTAGTCTCTATCTTTGCCCTGGGACCTTCAACTATGCTATCTAGAGATGAGATGTATCGTGTTTTATTAGTTAAACGCACTATGATTATTACTTTGACTTTGAATTTGGTTTTGATCTTTGTGCTAGCTATGTGGGGTCAGGATTCGGAATTTCACTTACTGGCTTTGATGCTTTTGGTCTTATTACAGGCCGTTGGGTTTAGAGAGACCTTTTTGGTTATGTTTATTGACCAGGTTTATCGTGCTCCTTTGAATATTTATATCTATGTGAGTTCTAATATGTCTAATAGTAGGGATGGCCAGTTTGAGCCGGGTATGCCGACTCTTTCGCTTTTGAAACGACTGGTCTTTGTTGGGTTGATGACCGTAGTGATAATTATGAGCAGTATTAAGCATATTGGGCCGCATCCGGGTTGGGAAGGTCTTTTTCAAGTCTTTCATGCCGCCTGGACTATACAGATCATGCATTTCCTTTGGGCAGCTAATATTGCTGTGCACTGTCTGCTGAAAATCACTTCGCCAACGGCTTATAATACGGGATCGGCTCGGAAAATAGCCTTTTCCAAATGCTTTGCTAATCTAGACATTATTGTTTATCTGGCCCTACTTGGTTTACTCTTTACATGGGTTGATATTGTTAAGATGGGTTGTGGTTACCCGATTTGGAAACAAGAAACACGAATGTCGATTGAAGCCTTTTTTAAGAAGTACTTTACTTCTTTCTACTTCTACTATATCTACCGTTTAAAAACGATTGTGGTGGCTTCCCTTATCTTTGAAATCCCCCCACGAGCTGCCGTACATAAACTCATTCAGATAACTAATAATAGTGAACGGCCTTTCATGCGCGGTCTACAAAATGGGAATAGTGATCGGACTGTCCAGTATCCAGCTATTGGCTTTTTAGTCATGGTTCTTTGTCCCGTAGTTATTATGCGTTATACCTTCCATGTTACCGCCAATGAACCTCTGCATGGTAAACTCTTATTTCTCCTGGGATGGTCGACCTATACCACCGCATCTCTCGGCTACTTAACCACTGAAATCATTCATACTTCCGTTCTCTTGGCCCATAGCCAGAATATTAGTCTCAGTCGCTACTGGCGTGATGAACATCTAGCTAGTTTGCAATTGTAATCATAAATAGATAATTATCCAGTCCAATTTTTTAGCAATGAAGGGAAGACTATCTTGGTTAGACATTAGAGCCGGTGTAAATGAGGCACAGAAACTCATTGGAGCCCATATCAAAAGTGTTTACAGTATCAGTAAAAAGTCAATTCTGATTAAATTCAGTAACAAAGAGAACTTACTGATTGATCCACCTAGTAAGTTTCATTTGACATATACTACTCATCCTAAAATCAATCTGACTCCGATTGCTATCTATCTTCGCAAAGTTCTTAATAACTGCCGTGTCGAAAAGGTTTACCAATTAGGATTTGATCGAGTGGCAGCTTTACAGTTAGGTTCAGCTGAGGGTTTACTTGTTCTTTTTATTGAGATGTATGCTAACGGTAATATCATTCTAACCGATAAGAATTTAAAAATCATGAATTTATTACGACCGGTTGAACATCTAGATATGCACAAAGAGAGTGTCTATCCTTTGAATGTTCCCCAATTAGAACTTAATTTGGAAAGATACGATTATTTAACTGGTGATACTTTGAAAAAGAAGATAGCTAGTTTTCTCTCTTTATCAGGCCGGATTGTAGATGATGTACTGGGTCGGATGCAGCAGTGTTTCAGTAAGCAGTTCAATTTGACTCAAGACCTTACTTTGGAGAGTTTGACCGAACTAAGAGAAAAACAGCCGGATGAGTTTGGCCAGTGCTTCCATACATTCTTTGGCGAGATATTCAGTGAGTTAGTGGCGGTAGGGAGTTATGGAGCGGTGGTGTACGAACAAGACCGGCCGGTGCTTTTTACGCCGTGGCGAGAAACCAATAAAGATAGTAAACGGCGTACTGTGGAGTTTGATTCCTTTGGCAAGGCCATGGATGCCGCCTTTGCCGTTCCGGTCGTTCAGGAAACCGTTGCCGAGAAGAAGATAAGAAAGATAAGAGAATCACAAGAAAAGAGTCTTAAGCAAAAACTACAAGAATCTGAGAACTTACGTACTAAAGCCCAATTCCTCACCACTTACCAAGCTGAGTTTACTAAAGCCATTCAAATTATCTTAGCAGCTGTTGATAGTGGGATTGCTGAAAGTGAGTTTTTACGCTTTAAACAAGAATCAGAAGCTACTAACCCGATTGCTAAGTACATTAAAGCCGTTAGTTTTGCTAACAAAACAGTCACTCTTACGGCTGATAGTACTTCAGTCACCCTGAGTTATACTACTTCCTTCTACGACCAAATCAGCCAACTCTTCCAACAAGCTAAGAAGATAGAGGATAAGGCCATTAAAGCCCGAGCTGCTCTGGAAGAAAGCAATCAGAAGAGTGATGCTATGGAACAAAGAAAAGAGAAGGCAGTGAAAATTGAAAAGATCAATCGGCCAGTGCTTTGGTTTGAAAAGTTCCATTGGTTTATCACTAAAAACAATGATCTTATCATTGCCGGACGAGATGCAAAACAAAACGAAATTCTTATCAAAAAACATCTCAAAGATAGTGATTATTATTTCCATGCTGATATTCAAGGCGGGTCCAGTGTCATAGTTGGTGAGTCAGCTACAGAGGAAACGAAGGAAACGGCCTCTTATATGGCCATGATTCTATCCCGAGCCTGGGAGAAAGGTGTAGTCGTACCTGTTTATTCCGTGCGGGGTAGCCAGGTTAGTAAGACGGCGCCGGCAGGTGAGTACTTATCTCAGGGTAGTTTTATGATTGCAGGTAAACGTGAGTTTTATCATCCTTACAAATTAGAGTACGGTCTAGGACTTATCTATAAAGTACCAATGAGTGCGAGTAGTGAGAATGTCGGTGGAGAAGAGGAAAGTGATCGCCGTGTCTTTGGATTTACTTCTTTGCCTACGGTTGAACCTGAATATGTTTTGCCTCTAGCAGGGCCGTATAAGAGTATTGAAGGACCTAAATACCGTTTATTGCCTGGTAATCAAAAGAAAGGAATGATTATCAAAGATATTCTAGCTCTAGCCGAAGAAGATGCCCAAGATAAGCTTAAGTATGTGCGCAACATTACCGGCCGGGAAATGGAGTTGGCCATTATTAGCAACTGCAAACTAGCCCAGGCTGAAATTGCCCGACGTGGTGAAGCTTCAGTTTTCAAAAAGAAAGATAAGAAGAAGGCTAAAGCCAAATCAAAAACAAAATCAAAATAATAAAAGCCATTAAGGAGATAAGTTTATACTTTTGCGTCTTTAGTCCCCACATACGGCAGGAACTCTTCTCCAACGTAAGGCACTAGAACCTTAGGCACAACTACACCCTCTTCCGTCTGGTAGTTCTCAACTAAACAGCAGAGTGTACGTTGAACCGCACAAAGTGTACCATTAAGTAAGTGCACGAACTCTTTAGTCGCCGTGTTCTGGTCAAACATATTGTAACGAATGTTAAGATCACGACTTTGGTAGTCGGTGCAGTTAGAACAAGAAACGAGTTCACGATATCTACCCGATTCAGGGAAGTAGGCCTCTAAATCGTACTTAATAGCCGCGGCATTATTCAAAGCCCCAGAAACAATACTAACTACGCGGTACCCAAACCCTAAACTATCATAAAACTCCTTAGACCTCTCAACCATGCCCTGGAACTCTTCCATACTACGTTCAGGAGCGGCCAGAATGAACTGCTCGATCTTTTCAAACTGATGCACTCTAAAGATTCCTCGATTATCCTTACCATGCGCTCCAGCCTCTTTGCGGAAACAAGTCGAGTACCCGGCATACCTAATGGGCAAGTCACAACCTCGGAACCATTCATCAGAATGTAAGGCGGAAATAGGCTGTTCCGAAGTAGCGATTAAGTAAGACTCAGTTGCAGCACCTTCTACCTTGTAGAGCTGATCGTCAAAATCACTGAGTTGAGCTGTTTTACTCATGGCTTCTCGTGACATAATGTAAGGTGTTTGAATAAGGTCGTATTGTTGTCGACGTAAGAAGTCCATTCCGTAGCGGACTAGGGCTTGGGCTAGAAGGACACCGGCATTCTTAAGGAAGTAGCCACGATGACCAGATATTTTAGTTCCCCTTTCCGTATCAACTGCCCCAAGTTTTTCCAAAATCTTATCAAAAGATAAGAGTTGAGTGGGTAGGAAATCTTTCTTGATATACTCGCGAGTAAAAATAACTGGATTGTACTCTTCATCCATACCAACGGCTACTGAAGGCTCAAGTAAATTACCTATCTCACGGGCAATATCATCGGTTTCTTTCTCCATACTAGCTAGACGGGCAACACAATCGGATCGTTTAGTTCTGATTTCGTTGATTTTAGCTACAAGTTCGTCTTTACGGGCACTCTGTTCTTTAGATTTGAAAAAGACTGATGCTTCTTTGGTTGTTTGGTTGAATTCTTTGTTTAACTGTTCCATTTCGTATCTGCCTTTAATCCGTTCCTCAATCATATCAGCAACTTTATTCACGCGATCTAATGAATTACCCCTCTTTTTCTCACTATCAGCTACTTTGGCTAGACCTTCTTTAGTTCGAAGTAATGCTAAGTCAATCATCTGAAAAATAAAAGAGTCCCAATGTCTAAATGTATATCTCTGGGCTAGTATTGAGTTTGGGTTTGGGTTTGGGTTGTGTTAAGTTGTGTTGGGTTTAGTTGAGTTAAGTTAAGTTGGGTTGGGTTGGGTTGAGTATTGAGTTGAGTTGGCATTGAGTTGAGTATTGAGTTGAGTTGAGTTGGGATTGTGTTGAGTTGAGTTGAGTTGAGTTTGGGTTGAGTTAAGTTGGTATTGAGTTGAGTTAGATAGTGGGTTGAGTTGGCATTGTGTTAGATAATGGGTTGAGTTGAGTATTGAGTTAGATAGTGGTTTGAGTTGGGTTGGGTTGAATTGAGTTAGATGGTATTAAGTTGTATTTGATGATAGCGTGGTATTCCGAACCGACTGAATTGGTATGGCGAGAGTTTATATTGGTTTGCTATCTGTTCTTCTGTTGGATTGAGGAGGCGTTCTTATGAAGATAAGTTAGGCTATAAATAAGTTAGGATATAGAGAGGCCAACAGCTTAGTAGTTAATTAGGTCATTAAGACACATATCATTTTATTGACTCTGAATTTACTTGGGGTGTGGTATCTAGATAGTAAGATGTGATTATACTATAAATAAGGAATGTGATTAAATGGTGGTTTCGATTGGGTTGGGCTTTTTTTTGATATCAGTGGCGGTAGTGTCGATTTGCTTGCGTTTCTTTTCTCTTTTGGCCTGATAGTAGAGAATGCCTTGGTTGAATGAGAACAGATCAAAGATAAGCAAGCCACTATAAACAAAATGTACTAGGATCCGCAATATTATAGTTATTATCAGATAAGGATACATATCTGGATTCTCTGAGCCTCTGAGAGATACCCGAACAATGTTATCAAAGAAGATAATCTGGGTTATTAGATAGATAGACATGGATATATTGAGCAAAGCGTTTATAATTCGAATAGGAACCAATTCGTAATTATCAATTTGATAGATTATCAAAACAACCATATAGAGGATTGTTTCAATGATTAAGGAGGATCCTAAATCCATAATCAGAAAGGAAACAATCCAAATGGAAATAAACAACTGAAATCCTGTTTTGAAAGTTAGATCAATGAGCTTTCGCATAGAGAACATCTGATTACGACGAATGTTTGCACCAAAGGCTTTATAATGAAACCAACTAAACTCCTTTCGCTGCTTAGTAATTATGTACAACATAATTAGAGAGTCAACTACAAGTGCCAGCGAATTAAACCCCAAAACAATATAGCGAATACCCGACCCGGCATCTAATCTCAGAGTCATCCACAGTCGAATGCCCATAATAACAAATTCCGTCAGAGTACAGACAATGGTCTGCATAAGATTCCTTTCGAGCAATCCTTGAGTCATCAGGAGTCCATAGACTAGCTTCGCAACAAACCCATTGTTCAGAAAGGCTGATAAAGAATAGAAACGCATGTCAATACTTATAGTTGATATATGCTGTATATGTTTCTGAAGCGCGAACAACAAAAGCTGTGCCACCATATAAACACCAATGATCGTATAGAGTACACCTAATGTAATCGAAATTTCTTTACTAACAGTGATATTGTTGTAGCATTGATTTAGAACGCCATAACTCTGCATTTTGAAAGCAAGCCAGGTTTACATATAAATCTTATTCTGGTCTTATTAGTATTGAGTATGGAACGTCACAATTCTTCGATCTAGCCAATGTTATATTTTACTCGATTCTCAGTTTAGTTGTGATAGTATTGTGTTGAGTTAGTGTTGAGTTGAGTTAGTATTAGGTTGGGTTGGGTTGTGTTGAGTTGAGTTAGTATTAGGTTGGGTTGGGTTGTGTTGTGTTGAGTTAGTGTTGAGTTACTAAGTGGCTACTTGCCGTTTTCAACCCATACTAAACCAACCCAACCCAATACTAACTTCTACCAAGACATAATCATATTAGACACTCATAGGATCTATTGAATAAAGTATCAACTGGGTATGACGTGTACAATACCTAATTGGGTTGGTATCTTCTTAAACCCAAATACATTCTATGTTTATAGTTTGGAGTTGTACTCTACCAATCTCTAACCCAATCCAATCCACTACTAACTCAATACAATACAAGCAAAGAATATCGTCTGTTGAATACCACAGTTAAGTTGTAATAAGTTGAGATAAGATAACTTGAAACAAAACAAGATAAGATAAGATAACTTGAAACAAAACAAGATAGTAGTACTAACCTAACGAATTAATGCAATACATTTATTTGTGATATTAAGAGAGCGAGGCATATGCTTCTTTAACTCTTTCTTTAAGACTGTAAATGTTGGCTGAGATTAAAGCTGTAATTCTTTGCAACTCGGCTTCTTCAGCTGCTATCTTACTGAGCGCCCGGCCCTTTTTGATCTTAAGCCGCTCCAGATTTTGCTCGCTTTGAAAAAGACCGTTATCTCCATCAGCCATAATCTTAAGTAGTTCTGTTTCGGCCTTATCTACTCGACCTACCGCTCTACGGTACTCTTCCTCAGAAGCTTCTTTCTTCTCAATATAAACCTGAGCATGTACTTTAACCCGCTCTTTCTTCTGGCTTATCTCTTCCTGCCAGGCCTTATCTCGTTCCTGCAGAACTTGCGCTCGCTCCTTCTCAGTGGCCAACTGACTTTCCACCTCAGCTACTGCCTTAGTAAAGCTCTGCAAGTACTCCCGCACTTTAAGATGCTCTTCCTCAATATTACCTTCAATCGCATACTCGTCATACTCCAAGAGATCAGTTTGTACTTTGGTTTTGTGAATCCGTAAATGAATCTCTAAGGAAGATGGAATATTAGATAGATCAAAAATAAGTTTCTCAGCCTCCTCGACTGAACTACGAATTGACTGGTTTAAATGCTCTATCTCACGAATCAAAATAGTTTTAGCCTTCTTAGCCTCCTCCATTGCTTTAATTAAGGAATCTCTTTCTTCAGTCATTTCAGCAATATCTTCAGGTTTAATAGGTTGCAGCTTAATCTCTTCTTCTAAACGGGCCTTAGTCTGGTACATATCAGCTAGTTCGTCTAAAGTCCGATTGAGAATGTTTTGGGCTTCGGCTAAGGACTCGCTGTACTTCTGGTGCCTGATTTCATTATGGTGCTTAAGACCGGCTAGTTTATCCATATCAGTACGAGTTTGTTTTCTTTTCTCTTCAAGATCTTCGGCTTCTTTTTCACTTTCAGATAGTTGTTGGACTTCTCTTTTGATTTGATCGATATAGTTTTGATACTCTTTGATCTTTTTGATCTTTTCTTTGTTGATTTCAGCTAGGGAAGCTTCTATACTCTTTTCTCCAGTTTCATCATCATCTCGACCTTCCATGTAAGCTGAGTACTCATTGTAAAGGTAGTTGAAGAATAGGTGCTTAGTCTCTTCTTCTAGGGCCGGTTCTGTTTGCATGGTAGTTGCTTCGACTGTTTCAATGAGAGTAGTTAGCCAGGCCAGCATAGAAAGAAGAACGGGCCAAGTATGTGGAGTAATGGCAATGAGTTGACTACGGTTGATTTCTGAGGCGTAAGGGTACTTGATTCCTTTAAGAAAGATAATCACTTCTTCTTCAAACTTACGGGTGCACTCAAAAGTCGTATCAATAAATGAATGAATAAATCTAAAGATTGCTTGGAAGTCTTTAAGGGAAGGATTAGCTAGAGTAGCATTGGAGATCGGTCTATCATAGTCTCTTTTGCTTAGAAACTCCATAATAGTGGCAATACATTGATTTTGGTGGGCTTTGTCGCGGACATTTCGCTGTTTCTTACGGGGGTCTTCAGAGAGGGTAGAACGACCCGTATCCATAGAAAGGGAGTATTTAGATGGTGCTCCAGCCATTGTTGCTCTCCGCATTTAATTAAAAATCTTAGTGGTCTATAAGTCTGTTTATTGAGATTGGGTTGAATTGGGTTGAATTGAGTTGAGTTGAGATTGGATTGGGGTGTGGTAGGGTGGAGATGGGTTGAGTTATGATGAGTTAGGTTGGTATAGGGTGTTGTGGGTTAGTATTTGTTGTTATTTGACAGTTTAAATGATGGTTTTGATTGAATTGAGTTGAGTTGGGTTAGGATGAGATGGGGTGGAGTTAGAATAAGATGGGATGAGATGGAGTTAGGATGAGATGGAGTTAGGATGAGATTGGAGTGGATTGGGCTTGGAGAAGGGTTTGGATGAGAATGAGTTACGGCGTTTTAGGAAGGTGGGGTAGGGTGGGGTTTTAGGAGTTGGGAAGAAGTTGGCATTGGAGTTAATTTGGTATTGGGGTGGTGAGTATCTGAGAGTGGTTTGGGAGGAATAATGGGCAGTAATGTAACCGCAGAGAAGGAAGGCTATAAGAAGAATAGTAAAACAGTTCATTTCAAAAGACATTCCATGGCAAGTACTTGTTTATTTATAGGTCATTTCCTAATTCAGCTAAATTGAAACTAATTAGGTTTAATCACCAAATAAGTAAATAAATTTCCATATATGGTAAATTTAGGATGAAATAGGTATGGCCAAAATTAGAAAATAACTAATGCGGTTTATTGAGTTATTATTGGGTTAGATTGGTGGTGGGTTAGGGTGGATTTGAATTGAATTGAGTTAAGTTGAATTAGTACTTGATTAGATTGGTATTGCATTAGAATGTTGTTAGTGCTTGCGTGTTGATTTGTGCAATTTCTCGGGTCGTTTGAGAGTGTGTCGGGCGACCATTTGGATGTCATCATCCATGGCCACTATGATCTTATCACTGTCCCCGGGTACAAAACTGTTAGAAACAATGTTGTGCTCATTCTGGCGAATCTGGTAGGAGAAAACACTGCCCTTAAGCACCTTTTGCATGTCCCAAACAATAACCCATTCTCGCGTACTGACAATTACGAACTTCTCCTCAGCATCCGTACTAATACTAGCATTAGTGAAGTTAGCTTCGCCTCCGAATAAATGCAAATGTTCCGGTCGAATAATTAGCTTCTTAGGCACGGGTTTCTCCTTGCCCAGACTCTTTTTGAATCCACTTACGCCATTAGCTTCAGCTGTAACTAGCATGAGGTATGTCTTGCAGGTGCACACCACGTACTTGCCACTCGGTGAAATAAAGACGCCTAGAATAGGATCTCCCAGTCCTGGCAGAAGTGTTTTAGCCCGTTTTTCAATACTATCATAAAGACGAATATCACCCGTATCGGATCCCAAGGCAAATTCACCTCTTGAACTCGCATCACCCGATGAGAATTTCGTATCTGTTTTATAGGTCTTGCCTTCCATAACTTTGGCCGCTCGAGGATCAAGACGGAAAATCGCATTGCTGGATACACCTAGGAACTCGTTGTTCTGAGTAAATCCATCTGCTGTCTTGGCTGCCGCAAAGAAGTCACGAGTTTTCACACCAGTATCCCAAGTTTCAGCCACCTTTTCCGTATTCAAATCAATCTTGTAGAGGTTTTGCGTATCATTATGATTGGAGACAATTACTGAACTATTATCAGCAATCAACATTTTTTGTGGAACAATCTTCTTACCCTTAGCAGCTAAGTTAGAAATCGATCCGGCAAATTCCAAATCATTACCTGTACTCCTAAACAGTCCAATTGAAGATCCTTTGGAAATCAAAGCACCATCCCGACTTACGGCTAAAGCCTTATTCTTCTCTCGGTTCTTCCCTCCAAAGACATTACCAGCTACACTCTCTTCTGTCTTACGTACGGCTTTACTCCTGATCTTACTATACCGCCCCTCATCACTAGAAACCTCTTCAATACTCGACTGACTCTCACTACTTAACTCTTCCTCCTCTTCCGATCCCAAGTCCATTTCGTTGTAGTTCTCTATCTCCATCTTCTCAAAGTACTCTTTCTCCTCCTTAGACTCCTTTTCCTTACCGACGGCCAGATAAGCCGAGAAGAAAGCAAATAACGAAGGTAAAGATCCAAAGATAATTCGGAAAATATCTCCCTCCCTATCTTCACGAGCTACAACCCAAGAGAAACTCTTCGTGCCCTGGTCAATATAGAAATCAGAATTACCTTGAATCAAATCACCCTTACGATATATATTATACTGATTACCTATCCGAATAAACACACCTATTTTACTTTTAACCAGTATAGCTCCTGCCTGACTATCAATTACTTCATAAGAATCAGTACTATAATTGTACTTACGAAAATCAACTGGATCACAAGCATAAAGAACTTCCCACTTATTAACGATAGGAATGTACTTGATTATTTGTCCATAAAACCGTAAGATAGTTCCTGGTAGACCCAATCGGAAAACAAAAGTCCATTTGTTATCTTTGGTTGTTAAACTCAAAGCTGGTTCTTTAGTTGTTGTTTTGGTAAAATCGATATACTCGAGTTCATCTAGACCGATATCTTCCTTCTCTTTGGCCGTTGTAAAAACAATTCGGTTCTTATCAACCTCAATTGCAGCACCTTCTAATTTCAAGATTTTGTTAAGATAGAGATTGCCAGCGGGTTCTTTGCCGCGCATCCAGTTCATAATGTGTTGCATGACCATTTAGAGCCAAAACAAAAAATGCTTATGTACACTCCTCGTCAGATTCGGGACTGCGATAGCACGACAAGCTTTACTTTAGAAAGAAAAGAGGAGTCTAAATGGGGGCAAGTTCAAGATGATTTGTTAAAGCAACTTCGGGTTAGTAAGAGTGATGAAAGAGAGTTTGAGTTTCCCATTAAGTTAGGAACAATCTTCTTTGACTATGAGTTGAATTTACCCCAATAAATTGAATTTGAATTGGATTGGATTGAGTTGTGTTGTGTTGTGTTTAGATTGAGTTGGTGTTATGATTGGATTGATATTGAGTTAGGTTTAGTTTAGTTTACGTTGATATTAAGTACTAACCCAAACTAACCCAATACTAACCCAATACTAAATTGAGTACTAAGTTGAGTTTGGTTTAGTTTACGTTGAGTTGAGTTGAGTTGGTATTCAGCACTAAATTGAGTACTAAGTTGTGTACTGACTTAAACCAACTTAATACTAACTTAAACCAACTTGATACTAACCTAATACTAAGTCGTGTACTAAGTTGAATGGGGAATGGGGAATGGGGAGTGAATTTGATTTTGATCTTGGAGATGGAATAAGTATCTGAATGGGAAGAAAATGGACGGATTAGTATTGGGTTGATAAAGTAATAAAATGGAACATAATGAATGGGTGTTAAGATGCGTACTATATGACGATTAAACAAAAGAGTCTAAAGTATATGCTATTTATATATGGATACATGTGTTGGTTGCTTAGTGGGTGGAAGTTGCGTTGGTGAAGTATGTGAGGATTTCTTGTTTGAGCGAGGTAATAGGGACTATTTTATCGATGACCTTCATTTTGAGCATGCGGGTGGCTGTGTCATGTAGGGCACAGAACTTATGCCCGAGTCTCATTTTGGTCGCATTGGTGATCGGGGCTTGGGATCGAGTTAGAGTAGCTTCTATTTCTGGTTGTTTGAACTTGACTGTAGCTAGGCCGTCGGGGTGCATGACACTGCCGGTACCGGTGCTGTGCGCGGCAAAGAAGACCTTCTCGCTGATACGCTTATCAAAAACAACCCAGGAGCCGCCACGTAGTTCGGCATTGGGGCCGAGATATACAAAGATGGGAACTTGTGCTTCTTCCATGCTGGTGACTATTGCGGCGCCGTGCTGAAGAGCGCCTTCAAACATGTCAAGATGGCCGGCTGTAAATCCACGCCAGTGCACGAGCATGAGAATAGGAAGACCTTCAACCGAGAACTCTTTGATGGCCTGGGCGATCTTCTTGGATGTTTCCGGTAGAAGTACGTTTTGGGTCCAGATGATTTGCTGGCGGGAGTTGGAAGGAATTTCGGTGGTCACTGTGCTTGACCGAGGGAAGACAACGCCATAAGAATGGCCATTCATTCGAGCTCGACCGGTTTGGACGTTCGGGGCCCATTCGGATAAGTACTCGATAAAGGAGTCTTGGTCGGAAAGAAGGGCAATGATTTCTTCGGGAGTGAAAGATTCCCGGGTTAGATTTGGATTAGTATTGAGTGAGGTGTTGGTGGGTGAGGTGCTAGTGGGTGAAATAGAAGTAGTGGTAGTGGTAGTATTGAGAGGTCTAGAATTGACGGCTGCGTTTGGTATAAGAGCAGTTGGGAAATGGCGAGTAAGAATGAACTCTAGCCATTGGAGAATTTCGTGAATACCTTCGGTTTCGGTCTTTACAACCCGATGGACTGTGCCGTTTTTGGTAAGAATATCCGGGCCGCCGATTTGAAGATTGTTGGTGTAAAGAGTCTTCTGGAGCAGCTTATTAAGGGCTTGGAATCCGGTTAAAATGATGGGGGCCGATTGCTTTTGAATGACTCGGCCGCCAAGCCTGGCGAGATAGGCACCAATACCGACGGCACGTCCGGTGGCATAAGTAATGGTGGGAATGAGTTTGTGGATACGGGACATTGTTTTGGCGATTTCGGCGGAGTAGGAGAGGTTTTCTACGCCCATTCCATACTTGCCCAGGACTCCAACTATTTCGTAAATCGTTGTTTGGTCGACTTGTTTAGGAAGTACTTCAATCTCGTCTTTCTGAACAAGATTAGTGTAGTCGGCTTCTTCTAAATAAAGTGTATCGGTGGCCGGGTTGTATTTCATGATTGGCTTGAGACTTTCCATGACTTCAATTTTGGCGCCGGAATTGCTGGAGATGTAGATAAAGGGAATTGAAAGGGCTTGGGCTCGAGTAGCACACTGTGTAAAGAAGACATCTTCGTTAATGGAAAAGGCGCCATAATTATCGGTGATGTCGTTTGCAACTAGAATGAAAAGAGGAAGATCCGCCCCTCGTCTAGTGGCCAGCCAAGCTTTCATGGCACAGGATTCCTGGGCCTTGATCTCTTCAATGCGCGCATTTGGATGCATTTCGCGTAAGAGTATGTCTAATAAGGAGACGAGGTCGTAGATATAGGAAGTGTCTAGGGAGAGGGCTTGTTTGCGGCGAATCATAAGATTAGATAGGGTGCCATCGGAATTAAGAGGATTGTCTTGGTGGGTAGATTGGGTTAGTACTTGGGCGTTCTTGATTTCAAGTGTGTCGATAAGATAGAAAACTTGCTGGTAGTTGATAAAGAGAACGCACTCTTTGAAGCCTCGGTTGGTGGATAGTCTTAAGAAGACACACAACTCGTTAGTGGGCTGTTCGGATGGTGATGTTGTGCTGGTTGAAGTAGTGATAGTGGGCGGGGTTAATAGTTGGTTTTCGTCTTCAGATAAGATACTGCCGCTGATTGTAATACTATTGAGGAAAAAGTCATCAATGGGGTAGGTTTGGGGAATGATTTTGGTTTTGAGATAATCGGCAAGAGCGGTCTTAGTCAGGGCAAGAGGAGCTGATATCAAAATAGAAACATCAAGAAGAGCATTGGAACCTGAGAGTTTGTAGGCAACTCTTATTTCTTGCAATAAGGTTGCGAAAGTCTCAGCTCCGGCCATGAAGTCCTCGGGAGTAAGCATGCCATGAACCCGCACATAGTGCTCGGAAGTGTAAAGGAAGACTTTGCGGGCCCAAAAGACACCGAAGAGTGAGAGCTTGGGCGTGCTGGGTAGAACTACTCTTTCGATTTGAGCGGGGTCTAGTTCGTCATAAAGGACTAAGTGCTGGCCGTCTTTATGGGTTTGGTAGCTGATGGAAAGGTCTTCATGGACTTGGATTAGGATGGTGTTTTTGAAGTACTGAGTATCGACGGCGGATGGATATGGTTGAATTAGGAAGAGAGCTTGATTGGGCGGAGTTTCAGTGTAGCTGGTAGTGACTAGAGCTTGTGTGGATCTCCAGTAGAAAGAAACTCCTCCCTTGTCTTCGGGTGAACCCTCTTGTTGGAAGACCTTCTTGATCCAGAGAATTAAAGCTGATTGCTGATACTCGGCTAGTAAAGAAAGAGCTATAATAATCTCAGTAGGTAGTTGTAATGCTTCCTTGCTGAGAAGATAACTGTTTCCTTTTTGGGCTAGTAGGTTTTTGGTTTGGCTAAGCAGTGTTCGTCTTTCTTGGGCTTCAATTAAGACGGCAACTTGTTGGAGCATTGAGAGTAGAGTGGCTGAACTGGCCCTTGATTGTGTGCTAACTATGTACCTGGCTTGCACAACGGCTTGGTAGTTGAGTTTTATCTCGGTTTTGGATTCAATCAGGCGCTTAAGTGCTTTAATCAAGTAGTTGTCCAGATCGGCAGTAATGGCATGGGCAGGTGTGTGCGAGTACTGCTGAAGAACAGCAGCTAAACTATCAGCGGTGTAGAGAAGTAACTCACTAGGAATAGAATATTGGCTAAACAGGTTCATGGTGAAGTCTTTCTGAACATTAGCATACTCGATAGCTTCCTTGTAGACTAAAGTATCTTCTTCACGTGTCTCACCATGTATTTCGGCAATAGTCTGGCCAACCTTAACTAAATCGCCTGGTTGCACCTTCTCCACTAAAGTTCCCTCTCTGGGGGCTCCACAACGAATGATGTTCTTCATACTCTCAATTTCCACGAACTCTTCGTTCTTCTTAATTGGTCCTGATTTGAGAAAGCGGACAACTCGGCCGAATAAAGTGGACTGGACACTGTTTCCACTCTGGCCCATTAAGAATATATGGCTCTTGCCTTCACAGATCAGTTCAGAGGCTGCTTGTGTTTCCGAGAAGTAGATGGTTTTTGCCTCACCTTGGTTGGTTTTGATGCGGTACTTTGTTTTGGCGATACTTATGATCTCCAGAACAGAAACACTCTGATTGATGCGAATGGCATAGGTGATAGTAGATTTAGTCTTATCAATCATTGAGACTGCAGCAGTTACCTCTACTCCACACGTTTTAAACACAACTGAAGCTTGGCTCTGGCTGGTTTGGTGGGCATAGATAGCTACAAAAGCCAGGAGATAAAAGGGATCCAAACTATGTGTTTGTACCCAGCTTTTCCGAAACTCTTCTGCATACTTGGTATTGTGCTGATTATCTCTAAAAACCTCACTAGAAATCAGATCAAGCAAGAAATGGTTCAGGTTCTTGGCCTCGCCAGAAATTCGAATGGATGAAAGCACCATTTTCAATGAATCAATCGCCTCCTCACGAGTAACACCTATCCCGAACACGTGGCCAAACTGTGAGTCGTTATACGGCCCAATTTCACCCTTGTCCACGGCAAAGTACCCAACTGTGCCCGAAGGAAAGACGGCCGAAACAGAAACAGAGCCCGTACTCGGTGCAAACTTGTTCTGGGCACACTCCGCCACTACTCGAGCGGCTACTACATGCCTTTGTTCAGTAAAGTTCCCCAGTAGTCCTTTCTGCTTTATCAGCGCGAGTTTGGCCCCACAGCCGATCATCCATTGTACTGCACACAAATTAGCTCCTCCAATCAGCTCAGTTACAGTATGTTCCACTTGTAGTCGCGGATTAGCCTCAAGAAAGTACATTTTCTTATCTTGTCGGTCATAAACAAACTCCATGGTACATACACCCTGATATTCTGATTTACGGATCAATATTTTTGATTTTTCTCTTATCTCCTTTAAGACTTCTTCGGAAATATCAGCCGGTCCCTCTTCAATCAGCTTTTGGTTCCGGCGCTGCACTGTACAGTCCCGACTGGAAAGTACTTCAACATCTCCACTACTATCCGCTACCACCTGCAACTCAATATGCTTAATATCAGCCAAGTATTTAGTCAGAAAGACGCGTTCCGAACAGGTCTCTTTTTTAACAATTTCAATAGCCATCGCTAAATCATCTTCCTTTTCCACTAGTCTAATTCCTTTCCCGCCCCCTCCTTCAGGTGTTTTGGCCATCACTGGATACTTTATCTCCTGGCAAAACCCAACGGCCTCACTAAGATTCACCACCTCCATCCAGGGAATGCTTTCCACTCCCGATGCATCGGCTAGTTCATTGGCTGAAATCTTCCCACCTACAGCCGCCATAGCAGCCGCTGATGGTCCTAAGAACAACAACCCATACTTAGTACATGCCCTTGGTAGTTCTGGATCTTCAGAAGCATGTCCCCAACCCGGCCAAACATATCTACAACCAAACTGCCGCGCCAATTGACAAATAACCTCTGGGTTTTTAAAACTCGCTCTAGGATCTTCCTCTTCCACCTCCGCATAGTCCGTAAGCAGATCAAGATACTTACTCTCCCCACTCCGATCAGAAGGTCGCGCCAAACCGTAGAATTCAAATAAACCCCGCCCAAACTTCCTAAACGAGAAGTCATTCATGGAAAGAATGAACTTCAAGGCGGCCAACGAATTATTGGCCACGAATATCCTATGTCCATCATAAACGCCCCCAAGATCGCTAATAAACTGCTCTATCTTTTGACTCCTATCTAACATGGGTTTTAAATCACAGCAATTTATTTATTTGTTAATTATGGTCTTTCCGTCTATATTAGGCTAATTGCTAGCTGTAGTGCTGTAGGCCTTAGATTTTGGTATTCGTCCAAAATAGGCAGTGAATACAAAAAGTGATGTAGCCGCACATCTGAGCATTCCGCACATATCAATCAAAAGAGAGGCACTATTTCGGCCATACAACTCCAGAGCCACCAAACAAGCTTTCGCTATCCCATCTAAAAGTGCTGCCAGTCCAATCAACAAGCAAACTGATATGTTCCACTTGCAGATCTTAGCTGGTAGGTATCCTGCAATGCCTGCCGTTTGTTTATCATGTAGCAGCAGTGTACATGATAGAGCAGCAAACAAAACAATGACTCCATCAACCACTGCACTGAGCACATACAAAAGCATCCATCCGTAAACACCTTTGAAGCTCACCAGCATAAGAATAAAGAGGAAGGCCTGAATACAGCCTAAAGAGGCACAAGTCTTCCCCCAAGGCACCAAAACATGCTTATCTCCTACATAAGCATTCTGAAAACCCGCTAAAGCCAGAATGAAGAATCCAAGCATCTTTTGGAAGATATCAACCAAGGCTTCAATTTTGAGTAGGTTTAGATAGGCCGGTGGCAAATCAGCTTGAAAAATCTCGTACATTCCAAAGTAAGCACCTAAGACCGCTCCACTACTCCAGAGAAGAAAAAGGGAAGTGGTGATCACGGCCAAGTAGATACCGCTCTTATCTGCCTTAGATACCAATCTGTGCGACTTTTCTTGAAGTCGCTGGTGGGCTGAAAACCCAACAAACAGTGAAAGCAGCCCAAGTCCCGCCCCAACATCAAGTAGAAATATAACCGGGGTTACCCTTATAGACATGTTGCTGCGTTTTCATTCCATTATTAATACCCTGCGGTGTTTTAGGTCTGTTACAGATTAGAGTCTAGTGTATTTCCTTAATGCAGTCCATGATTTGTTGAATTCTGGGGATGTTTTGCATATGGCCAAGAACTCGGGTTTAGTGATCTTTTCGGCGGCTGCATGTTCAGGACCTTTAAAGCCCATCATTGCTCCGAAACTCTCTCTAAGAGTGCCAAAATCCGCTGGCGATAAATATCCTTTCTTATCTTGGTCCATATACTCAAAGATCCAGCTGGCATAATTATCCCGACTTTGCCGGCAGATAGTCATTGTTTCAACTAGTGCGTCAATTGTTGTCTCAGAAAGAGTCAAACTAAGCTGATTTGAAACACTACTTACTTCTCCTAGAGGGAAGATCTTCTTTAGCAGGACTGAAACGCAACTATCCTCTTTTGTTTTCTCGGGTTCATCCATTCTACTCTGTTTTTAATATGACGTGGCAAATAAATAGACATTATCCTGTTTGTTATGCAGAATACCCCTCGTGAGATAGAAGGGATACTTAAAGAAGAGTATAAGAAGTACCAAGTACGCACTAGCATTCATCATTGGCAGCTACGAGATATGATTACGACCACAACTAAATTTGGAGAAGTTGTTTATGCACATTCCAATACAATCAATCTTCTTAACACAGAAACCCAGAAGAGTCATACTTTAGTCAAGAACCTAGTGTTCAATCCAACTTCAATTTGCTATGGCCACGGGATGGTTGCAATTGGTGGACAAAGAAGCCAGCTAGTTATCAAAAACATTGCCACTGGAGCTGAAAAGCGGATTTGCACGGGCGGCTCCATTAACAATGGCGTGGAAATTTTCGATCATTTTGGTGATCTACGAGTGTTAGTTTGTAATAATGATGAAACAATTAAAGAGTATTCTTTAGGAGCCATGCGTAAAAGTGCCGTGCTAATGCACAAAGCACCTGTTAATAGTTGTGCAGTTAGTCCTGACGGTCGGTTTTTAGCAACCGTTGGAGATAATAATGATGTTAATCTTTTTTCGATAGGCCGAGATCGCTACAAGTTAAAAACAACCATGAAAGCCACTAATGATGCTTCTTTCAAAGTTTCCTGGAGTCCTTCCTCTACCTATCTAGCTGCCAGCACTCAGGACGGGTACGTCTGCATCTATGACATTCGCAATACAGCCAAAAAGATCTCTACTATTTCTTCAATGCAAAGCCCACTAGTTAAAGGTGCATGCCGCAACGTTAAGTTCTGTCCTAAAATCTCCATGGACCTACTAGCCTTTACCGAACACGTCTCTCATTTCACTTTAGTTGATACTCGTGATTTCACCAAAAAGCAAAGCATTGCCCTTGCCTCCCCAGAAACCGACCGCCATATTTCCGGCATGGCCTTCTCACCCTGTGGTGAGTCCCTCTTCGTCGGCACCGAAATGCTTATCTTTGAATTTGAAATTGACTCCCTTCGCCGCCGCCTGCACCAAGTAGTCAATGCCCATTGACTAAGCCCTACATTAAACATCTCATTGAGCACCACATTGAACACCACATCAAGCACCACATCATTTCCCCACATATCTCACTGCCACATCTCACCACTATCTCAATCAAATCTCAATCAAATCTAAACACCATCTCAATACCAATCCAAATCTTAACCCAATACCAATCCAACCAAATCTAAACAACAATCAAACACAATTTATTACTACCCCCACTCACACCAATCCAATCCTATACAAACTCAACTAAACTCAACTAAATCCTAACACAACCCCACTTAACTAAACCCAACTCAACTCAATCCAAACTCAATTCAGACTATACTAGACAAATGAATTTTTACCCTCCAATGACGCATTCTGGTGCTGAAGAAGAATTCCTATTAGAAACAGAAGAAACCAAACGTACTAAACTTACTGAAGGCGCAGTCGTCCTTCAAATGCAAACTGAAGCCGTTGATCGTCTTAAAATACTTGAAACTCGCAAGTTCAAACTCTCTAAAGTCCCAATCATCACTATCGGTGGCAGTAAAATGTGGGTCAATGGCTGGATAGCTAAAACTGCCCCTCTTAATCAATCCCAACCTCTCCCAACCCCAGAATCCGGCACAACCTGTGATATTTGCCAACGCGAGTTTTTAGATAAGCGCCGCCTAGCCATTCACAAGAACGTCCACTTAAAGACGTCATCTAAATCCTAAATTTTTCATGCACGAACTTGCCCAGGGAGTTACTATCAACTGTGAAATAAAAGCCAACTCAAAGAAACCCAATCTTACTTATGAAGATGGCCGTTTAATTATTGCCGTTCGAGCAGCTGCCATCGAGAATAAAGCTAATAAGGAAGTAATTGAGAGTCTGGCTGATTTTTTTGAACTAAAAAGAACACAAATAACTATTATTTCTGGACATAAATCAAAATCAAAAATATTACTATTTAAGGAAATAAGTAAAATCAAAATAGAAGATAAGCTTAGGACTTTATCAACTAACAACAACCAGCAATTTTTTCATGGAGACGAAAAAGTTTTATGACAGATGTGGTAAAATGCTCAAAGATATCGTTGAAAAACGGACTGGAATCAAAACTGCATGTTATAAAACCGAAATGCCCACTAAGTATATGGCCGTTCTCTCTAGTATCTTGCGTAGAATCACTGTTTTAGAGCGAGTTGTCTTTGGATTGCAAGCTGAAGTCCGATCAAAATGGATGGGAATGGTTCTTTGTCATGAGATCCTTTATGGGAACAGACGTGAAGCCTTGCGTTTCAACCGGAAAATGGTCCAGAAGGTTAAAGATGCCTATAAGGCCTTAGGTCTAGTTGAGAAGACTGAAGAACGAGTTAAGGAAAGTGTTTACATTCGTATCAATACTCTTAAGGCTACTAAAGAGTCTGTTTCATCTCTAGCTTTAAAAGATACTATAATTCCTGATGTTTATCAAGTTCTAGAACGAGTGAACTGGTCTAAACTGAAGAGTTATCAGAAAGGTTATTTCTTTGTTCAGGACTTATCTAGTTGTTTACCGGCTTATGTTCTTAATCCACCAGCTCAGAGTACGGTTATTGATGCTTGTGCGGCTCCTGGGAATAAAACCACTCATTTATCTATGTTAATGGGTGGAGAGGGGAAGATCTTTGCTATTGAGAAAGATACAGAACGATTTCAGACTTTACGTGAGATGATTGCTAAATCGGGTGCTGAGAATATTGTATCTATTAATGATGATTTTTTGGCTATTGATCGTAATCAAGATAAGTGTATTTTAGCGGCTACTCATATTTTAGTGGATCCTTCTTGTTCTGGTTCTGGTCTTCATCCTGAGGAGGAGAAAGATCTTAGACGGCTTAGTAACTTAGCCGGATTTCAGATTAAGATTCTGAGTAAAGCTCTTAAGTTTCCAGTGGTTAAACGAGTGGTTTATTCGACTTGTTCTTTGTTTGAAGAAGAGAATGAAGCGGTAGTGAAGGTGGTTTTACAAGCTAATCCTGAGTTTAAGTTGGAGAAAGCTCTACCGGCTTGGCCGCATCGAGGTTTACCTGGTTATGACTTTAGTGATAAGGTAGTGCGTTGTCCGGCTAATGAAGAAACACGAGGATTCTTCTTGGCCTGCTTTGTAAGAAAGTCATGAGTTGGTGTTGGTTGGTGTTAGTTGGTGTTGGGTTTGAGTTTAGTATTAGTTGGGTTTGAGTTNTGGTTGGTGTTAGGTTGGTATTGGGAATAAACTTAAAACACAATTGGAGTCTTCTTGAATTTAGAAATGTTTGGGTTGGGTTTTGGTTTTAGTTGGATTAGTATTGACTTTGGGTTGGTGTTTAGTTGGGATTTAGTTAGTGTTTAGTTGATGTTGAGTTGGTGTCGAGTTAGTGTTTATTAGTTGAGGAATGTATTGTAATATGTAGTATTATCGGATGAGTAGTATCTTGCTGGTACAAACTCAAGTCGATTGTTGGTGGTGCTGCTGGCTGGCAATCATATATTGATGTTAAGAATTCTTATTGGGTTAGTATAGATGTGTGATGAATGGTTTAAGGTCTTTATTTTGTTGATCTTATTTACATTTTGAGATGACGTCATTCTGTCTCAATGCAATCATATATTGTCTAAGTTGTTTTCTGCAGTCCGCTATTTAAACATTCGGATCACGTATTTATTGATTCGCTGGTCTATGTATAGATAGGAAATTTCCTTATTAGGTAGTTTTCTTCCCGCCTTTTAGAAACCGGGAATGTCCTTTAGGAATATACAACAGTCTAATAAAAGATAACAGTGTTCAGGCCAAGAAATGGTTTGATTGGGTTGGTTTGGGTTATTACTATATGGTCTGTAGTGAATGGATTTAGCGGTTAGTATTAAGCAGAAGGTAAGTAATTGTGTTGGTATTGTGTTGGTATTAGGCTTGTTAAATAGAAGGGGCTGTTGTATTGATATTGATTGGATGCTTGAACGGATGAATGGTTGGTTGGGTGGATGGATGAATGGTTGGAAGAGAGGCCGCTAAATGGATGATGATTGAGTGAAATCAAATTTCAAAATATCGGTTAAATTTCCTTTTTGGGTAATATTCTTAATTGGGCAAATTTACTTTTTTCGGAGTATGTTTGATCATATGATAAACGAACTTGTGTCTATCAATCTTTGGCGCTTTAAGAAATTTGGCCGTTGGATTGGAGTGTGCGTTTTGCTAGTTATCTTGACTGGTGCTAGTGAACCAGATGTGGGGGCTCTGGAATCTTTGCCGGATTCAAAAACAGTACATCTCCTTTTAGAGTCAATTGGATTTACCTTTGAGAATGGGAAGAAAAGACATGTTCCGTTGTTTAGTTGGATTAGACTTCCTACCCTTCCACCGATCGTGAATATTACGCCGCATGTATCTTACGAACAGCCAGCACTTATTGCAGCCGAGGATCAACCGCTGGCCCATGTTGAGATTCTTCTAAATACACCCACTTATGAAGTAGAATATCTTGATCGTGATATACGCTTTCAACTACCTAAATATACTGATGTGGAAGAAGCAAAGCGCGCTCTAGCAGCTTTGAGAAAGATTGCGGTTCTTAGAACTGATCTTATTCACATCACCTGCGCGGCTGGCAACCCAAAGTGCCACCAGATAAACCAGCAGATTTTATCTCGAGTTCTCAACATGGTTGATGTTGGCTTGATATTTATCCATTTATGCACTGAACTAGGCAAAGAAGAGTATGTCAGCCAGATCGATTTGGCCGCCTGCCAAGCAGAAGCACAAAACACACTGGAGCATGCTACTTATAAGGTAAAAGAACAGTTCTTCCTGTCGACTTTAGCGCACGATACGCTTCCAGATACTATTTGTCCTGGTATTACTATCTTGCGACCCATTTCCAATATTACTTTCTTAAATGGTCAATCCTATAATACTTCTTGTCTTAGCCAGTTATCTCTCGAAGCCAATTATACTCTTATCTTTTCGGTCTTGCCTAGGAATGCCAGTATTAATCTTAAGGTCCTCCAAACGTCTCCTTCCACGTGCAAACAGATCACTATTGAAAGTGATCCAGGCACCCAACTAGCAATATCCGGTCTTGAATCTGCTAGGGATAGGCATCCGCAAATATGTTTGAAGGCATCATGGGACCTTTTGCAGTATCTGGCCGTGAACAACGAATCTATAATCAGCGTTCATTCCATTAGTAAACTTCCAATTACCCAAGACTCGATGCTCGCAATGCTTCAGTCCACCCCAAACCAGACAGCTACACGGTCCCAAATCGATGCTGTTAACATCACTTACAGTATTGCCACTAAGATGCCATGTGGTCCTCTTGATTACTACAGACAAACATACAATTCAGAAACTCTGGCTAAACATGGCATTATAGTCAGCAATGTTCGGTTAGAATATGCAAAAGGACGATGCGACTTGTATAACACTTTAGAAGCGCTTTGTGGGCTTGATGAATGCTTGGTGGTACCCAACGTAATCGAAGATGAGGGTATTGTATGTTGTGGCGAGCGGCTGAGCCAGCCATGGAAACCTAAATGGGATCTTATTATTCAGCTTGATTCTCCCCACATTCCCGCTAGCATCAAGTACTATTACCAGTTGTGCGCCTGCTTCTGCCAGAATATACACTATCCCACCATCTATCTTAATGGAGCCAAAACACCAATCCAAAACCGGGTCGAAACCTGCATTGACATTCTAACTATCTTTCAGGGCATCACTGCCGATAAACTTTACATTTCTAATATCCGCAATACTGATGAAAAGACCTCAAAGTTCAGTGTAGCAGCTTTAAACTATAAGGCGGCCAAATACACTAAGTGGAACCTCAATGTCGAAACGTTAGTGCTAGATAATGTCGATGACCATATTATTTACTGGATGCTAGGCCACTACAACTTTACTAAGCGCACCGAGGTACATATTTTAAATGAAAGATTCACTAGCCTTGCTATCGCCCAAGTGCTTTCCCTTCCAGTAGGCAACCAGATTACAACACTCTTGATCAATGGCTTCGCCGGCTTAAATGAAGTTAAACACGCCAACAACCCAGAGGAAATCAAGGGATTCTCGCTCTTCAAATACATAGAGGCCAAACAACGAGAAGGCCTGACCATCAAAGATCTTGGTTTACACAAGCTGTCTTTACAAGTGAGCGATCAGGAATTTGAGTCATATCGTGGCGCCTTGTCAGTGCTTCTTCTTTCCTACGGTCTCTACCCATGTGAGATGCTATTTGACCAATACATTGAATTCGACTCTTCTACTAAAGGCATAGCACTGGATAGGACAAGGTTTACTCTTCGTGGTGTCACTTTAATTCGGATAAAGTCTGATTTCACCCACCGCCAAACTAAAGCCAAGGCCCATGCGCAGTCCCACCCTAACCCGCCACAGCAGAACCCAATGTCAAAGGGAACTGTTCTGGAGCTGGTCTTATATTTCTACGACACCCCACTATTAACCGAAGCTGATTTAGTAACTATTATTCGGTGGGTGGGTTGTCGATTTAAAGGCCTGGTTGCTTTGCGGTTAGAGAATAGTAACATGTCGAGCGAGGCGCGGGCTATAGTTGCTTCACGTCACTATTGGATTGATGGGCTGAATATGCTCAATAAGATTCAAATACAGAGTCCGAACTCAACGGCGCCATTTATTGAAATCCCAATTCAACTGTATCGCAACAGTCTTCTAGCGACTGTTTCTAACCCAGTATCCGAATTTACTGCCGTGTCACTTACAATGCTACGCCGGCTTTATAACGATCCAAAGCTACTCGAACTCTTCACTCCCGACCGCATTAACCACAGTGCCTCGTTTCAAATGATTCTAACCCAGCTTAGAGAGACTAAAGAAAGCATGTATATTGTGTGCTCGATTTGTTATAAGGATATTAGTGATCCACCAGTGGAGGAGAAAGAGGAAGATCTAGATACTAAGAAATCTGGCGATGCATTTGATTCCAAGTATAATTTCGCAACCCTTTGCTATCTTAAATGTAGACACCCACTCTGTGATAAGTGTGCGATTCGACTTCAAAGAGACATGGTGTACAACTGCACAAGTTGCAAACAAAAAGAGGCGTACGATAACATTCATCAGCTTTTAAGCATACCTTTATCTAATTTTGTTCTGGCCGAGGACAGCACCGACTTGCCGACAGGTAACATTGATTGGCTCAAAGACATGGCATTGCCTGATCAGCATGTTTATTTCTACCTTGCTTATCCAGATTTCGCCACCCTTTGCGCATATCTTGAGAAAGAACCAGACCAAGACCTTCGCCAAATCCATATCATTTGTGCAAATCTAACATGAATAAACCAGCGACTTGGCATTTATATTGTATTGAACATAGAGCACGCAATAGCTCTACAAAACCAGCATTATCTAAAACCATCCAATCGCTGCCTAGCTTGCCATATTTACAACTGAAAGATTGGCTGGCAGTTATAAACCAATTTGATTGGCGGTTATAGACCAATAGCTGTGTAAATAGAACAAATATCTGCAATCAGTAATTTCCTATGAGAGCAAAACTCAAGAAGCGTTTGTGTATTGTTGTTATAGTTCTAGCAATACTGGGAATCATTGGAATATATATACGTAGGGCGGAAGAGAAGGGAGAACAGAAGTTCTATCACGCATTTGGTTCATTAATAAGTAGGGCCACAGAGCGGTTACACAAAAAAGGTAAAGATGGCCGCGAATCATCGACCACGGCGCCCCATGAATCACAAACAACTATCCCTCAGACTTCAGGAACAAATCCGTCATCACCACCAGCCCATCCAGAGCCATCAGCGCCGCCCCTGGAAGAATTCCATCCGGAACCATCAGCACCACCTATGGAAGAAATGGATATGCCTGAGAATATTGCCCCGATTTCAAATAGCAGGTCCAATCAAAACTTCTATATAACCCTACTAGGTAAAACAAACATAAAATACACCGAAGCCGATGTTGATAATCATATCAACTCTCATAGAGCACCCGGCCTCTATCCCAAACTACCCCCACAAACCCCGGATAGTCTTTCAGGGATAAGAGTGTCTCTAGTAGAGAACCAAGAAGTGGCCCAGTTAAGTAAAACACTCGAATTCTGCAAGGCCTTAGGCAATCCTTTTACTGTCTTTTATCTGGATAATAGCAATATCCTGGCGCATAATGAGTTTATCACCAAGCTCAACGACCTTTTTAGTCACGGCGACCCAAGAAGCGATATAATAACCCTATCATTAGCACAGTGCAGTTTTACATACCAGTCCTTGGCCTTGGTACTTAGCACGATAAAGTTCGGCGGCTTAGAAATTGGTGGTCAAAGACTGATCTCAGGCCACCCAGTTGCCAGGCCCATGCAAACCAGCCAATACCTCAAATCCCTAACACTTCACAGCATGCCCCTACAAGATCTGTGGTCATTTGCCTCATGTGTTGACACTTCCAATCTATTATCACTAACCCTCCAAGGGATTAGTTTCGACAAATTGGACTCTTCATCTATTCCTAGTCACTTTATCTCCAAGCCAAGGAGAGTCTATTTTAACGATATTAAGGCTAATTCTGTTTGTTCCTCGATTCTCATTCCATTGGCTAATGTGCCCGATGTCAGTATATCTTTCGATGGCGCTATGCCTAGTGTTACTCCCTTTGCTGACGAAATCTCTCTCTTCTGCATTAGCCTTTCGGTTCCCTATCAGCTGATCCGTTCCGCTCGTCTTATTTTCTTATTAAACGCATCATTCATCATCACTGCAAATGGAGTTGATAGTGGCACTAGTGTTAGACCTAGTATGTCTTCCAATGACACCATTGTCTTTGAGTACACCGCCGCTAGCAAAACCCTACACTTAACCACCAAGATAGACAGCAATCTTATTGACAAACCCAACAATGCACCTCTATCATTCTTTAACATCAGGGGAGATGGCAAGAACGTTAATCTTTTTGTCTGGACTTCTAAAGAACAGGCTATTTCCAATGACGCCTTCAAAATGAGTCTTGAGAACATGGCTAGCATACTCGCCCATCAACTAACAACCCAACTCCACATCCAAATTGGAAACAAAGCCACGGCCAGTACTCATGACGTCGAGAGGATCCCTAAACTATTCGGCCATCTCCAAAAGCTTGCTATCGAGAATACGACTTTTGTTTTAACGCCCACCCAGCCCCGCAATACTCAGTTTGCACACGCACTAGCCCAAGGTAGATTTGTCTTTGCTGCCAAAACCACCCATGATGCATGGTCAGCGTATATCGAGAAGAACAAAGATTCTGTCTCCGACGCCGCAGTAAGCGAGTGGCTAAACAATAGCCCAACTAACAACACCTCAAACCTCAATCAGAAAATACAAAGTTCCACCATTAAGTTTACTCCTTTCTCTTAACTGACGTATGACGTAACATCTCATCATATCCAATAAACAACATTTGATTACTATCTATCCACTACAATTACATTAGACTCAATAACTATTGGCCCAAAACAGACCCAACTAGAACTATCAAAACACTGATCAAAATAAACAGAAGATTAAATCGGACTATAATAGATCGCCAAAAAGCTTTATTGTTGTATCTAAGAGAGACACTAAGCTGTATTAATTACTTTGTTAGAAGCAAGTATGGTGGTGATGTTTTTGGAGAGTTCGGTGGCACAGTAGTTGGCCAGTTCTTCTTGGGTTATAGCAGTAGCCAAGCCGACTATTTTGTCCATACTATTGATGTCAAAGCCATGGAAGCGCCAGAAGTTAAGGCGTCGGCCGAGGTATTCTGATGCATTATTGGCTTTGCTCTGGTAAAGCGCAATTAGTGACTGCTTGGTTGTTTCAAACTCAGTAGAAGGAAGATTCTTGATGATTGAGGAGATACCCGCAATGAACTGAAGTATTTCTTTCTTGGTATCCTCGTAAGAATGGGTGGTTTGAACGATCCAGTTGATATAAGCTTGAGAGAATAAAGCACTAGAACCCATCTGGACTAAGTATCCGTATGTCTTCTTGGTTCGCAACTCATCAAAGAACTTGTTGGAGATGAACTGGTTGATAAGATCGGCGACAATAAGGTTTTTAACTGGCGCGAACTTGGTTACTTCGTGAGATACTAAGACAGCAATGCTTTCCTGGTCATGCACGGCCACATCGACATGAGTCATGGCCGGCTTTTGTAAAGCATACTTCTTCTGGGCATTGGGCGTGACATTGGTCTTGATTAGCTGGCAAATACGAGAGAATTCAGATTGGGTAAGATTACCGACGGCATATAGTTTGATATCCGCTTCAGTGACTGAGAAGAACTTGTCAACAGTTAAGTCGCGAGCTGCCTTAATGCATTCGTCATCATCTAGATGCTTGTAGTAGTTTAGGCTTCTCAAAAACCCTAAATAGACCTTACCAACAGGAATTGACTGTTTTAAGCTATCGTGTTTAGCTACTGCGGCATGGATAGTCTGGGTTAGCAGTTCTTCTTTCTTTGTCCTGAACTCTTTGAAGAAGACCCTAATTAGGTCTTCAAGCACGAGTGGGTTACCAGTGAAAGAGAGTGAAATGGCTCCTGATCCTTCCACAATATAATCAAGAGATACGCCTGAGGTTTGCATTTCCTCTTTATGAGCAACAAGGAAGTTGTTCAAGAAGGCCACTGTATATCCTGAGAAGGAAACGAAAGTATTGATGTTCTTGTAAACCTCATCACATCCTAGACAGAGGATAAGGTAGACGTCTTTAGAATGAATATCTTGTTTGTGGATTAAGTGAGCTTCAAAACCATCTTCTGTAATGGCAAAGTGTTCGATTTCTTTGCCGGCCGGGATATCGCATTCTACGATTTTCTTGAAGGTTGAACCCAGGGGATAAGAAATGTTCTGGCTTCGGGCCGTAGCAAAGTCTAATTCTTCACCAAAGTCAGCAGTTACCCAAGCAAGTTTGCTTTGGAGAGCATCAATGGTGGCATCAGTTGGCTTAGAGACGTCTTCAATGAAGTATTTGACATCAAAGTACGGGTCGGATAAGAGAGACTTGCCTGGGAAGAGATCATTCGTCTCAACGAAGACCATCCAGTTGGACCGGTCGGCTACAATGCTGAGAATATAATCAAAGTCGGTTTTGTTGAAGCTGGTCCAATCATAATCACCAGTGAACACGTCTTTGAGTGATCGGTAGGACAAGTTACCGGCTATCATCATGGTAGTTGTTAACTGATCGGTTGGATCAAGGCATTCCTTTTGCTTTTGCATAAGCTTAGCGTACTTCTGGTATAACGTTTCGGTGGCATTTTCTTTGATCATGTTAAGATAAGTCTCAAGGAGATTCAACACACTAGCAATCTTCTCAGGAGTAGCATCGACTAGAACAAGTTGAGCACCAAAAATAGTCACATCTCTTTCCATTTGAGCAAAGAGCCCTATAGAGGTTGCAATGTTGTTTTTCGTAAGGATTGAAGAGAGAGAACCATCATTGGAGTTATCTAACATCTTGATCAAAAAACTCAAAGTATGTTCTTGATAAGCAAATCGCATTGCTGGCAAAGGGATGTAAACTGTAAGCCGAGTACTAGACTTTTCGTCTTTGTATGGCCGGTAGTACACAATCTTGTTTCTAATCTCGCTGGTTCCAATATCATAGGACTTATCAGCACGGTCTCGTTTAGTGGCAGGTTCGATATGAGTAGGCTCACCAGAAAACTCCCATTTAGCGTCTTTATGGGCCTTGACATCACTAAAGAACTCAGTAGCATACCCCTTCAACTCCTCCAAACTCTCCTTGCCGAAAATGACCAGAGTCATATTCTGGGGAGTGTAGTGGTACTTCCAGAAGCTCATTAAATCAGCCCGGATAGCATTGGCTAGGGTCTTTTCTGAGCCAAGAGTGAATTTGGACATAGGATGGGTCTTTTTGATGAAACTGGACAAGAGAATAAGCCGCCGAGAAAAGTTGTTGGACTGGTGCATTTTCTTCTCACTATCAACGGCCTTCTTTTCTCGTTCTAGGGCATTTTCGCTAATTAGAGGATCAATGAAGAATCGGCTTAAAATAGAGAGGGCTTCTTTGCCATGTTGAACAGGTAAGGCATGTAAATAAGTGGTTTCAAAAAGAGAAGTAAATGCATTACGCATTCCGCCTTTACTACTAATAAAGTTGTTATAGTGATCCTCCACAGGATATTTGTCACTGCCCATAAAGAGCATGTGTTCTAGAAGATGGGCTAAACCGGGATGTTCTGTAGGATCATTGGCTGAACCAACACCGACTGAGAGAGTTGCTGCTGCCATGGGCGTAGTTGGGTTGCTAACCACTACTACTCGCATGCCATTGGCAAGCTTCATCTCTTCATAAAGGTTCTGATCTTTATCTCCACAAAGTTGACTATGGAATTGCTGCTTCTCTACTCGATATTTGAAGTAGATAATCCCAAGTGTTGCAAAAGCTGCCATCAAGATCATGCCCCAAAAAGCCACTTTGACCTTTTGAGATCGGGCTCTAGTACGAATCTTATATGTGATCGGCATCAAAATAATAGGGGAAAAAACTTCTAGTCTTAAATAGCATTTCCCAATAAGGAAAATTACCCAATAAGGAAATGTAAAAAGTTTCTAAGAGTTCTAAATCCTATCAAGATATTATTAAGATAGAATTGGGTTAGTATTGGATTAGGTTGGGATTAAGATATAATTGGCTGCTTATTGAAATCAAGTGGTATATTGATGCAGTGAATGCTATTCTAAAATATACAAATGGAAACCTCAATTTGGGCTAACCTAATAATACAAACCTAAGTACTAATCCATCATACAGTCAGTTGTATTAATGTTGTATTAGTGAGTGCTATGGCTTTTGGTCAAGTTAACTTTAGTTTCTGGAATATGCCTGGAGTGTAGCAATTACCTCTAACCCAAATATTAACATGACCCCAACCCGATACTAACCAAACACCAACCCAATACTAACCAGATACTAGCATGATAACAACCTTACTATGTACTTGAATACTAACCTAATACTAACCCAATGCCATCTTCTGAACTTCCAATGTGATTTTAACAATAAAGGCGGTTGTCTGCTATCTGTTTACTAGCAATGGCTATATTATATTGAGAAGGTGCATTATATATCATAATCATCTTTGGAATTAGGAATGTGCAACTTCATATAAAATACTCTTAAAGTCTTCAATTCAGAATCCAGTTGCATATAGTTTATCTTTAAGTTTATTCCGACTACTGCGGTAGAATAGTATTTAAGTTAGAAGAAATCCATCAATAGATAAGGCCGATATAGAAGCATTATAGCGATATAATCAACTACTAGCTACTAATACCGCTGTCTTATAACACGATGGTATCTAGATTAAAATGGCCCATACTTGGATAACTTCCACTGGTAAGTTTAAGCTCGTCTCCCCCAAACATAACAATGCGCCCGTACCGAAGAGTAGAGAACAGGCTCATCCAGTAGCCATAGAAGAGAAGCAACTGCACAACCACAGAGGCAAGTTCAATGCGCATAATATGATGCTCGCCAAATATAGTTTTCTGATAGAGACCCATATCCCGACCGGAAAAGTAGCAATAGTTTTGATAGACTAAAGATCCCAGTGTAACCAGCATAGGCAAGTAGTGCAGTAAGATCGTAGTGAACAATCCTTTGATGTCAGATAAGGACAGGTTATAGCTTCCAGCAAAAGCAATCAGAAATGGCAGTTCTAGAAGAAACAAACCGACAAAAGCCAGCGAACTCTGCAGGGAAATCTTAGCAATTCGTCTATTCCGGTCAAACCAGACACAAAGATAGCACAAAGCACAAGCAGCCGTAAACACAAAAGCACTTAGCAGTAAACTTCCACCAAAAACAACAAAGAGTCTGATCACACTGCCTTTCTCGTGCAGGCGTAAGGTTTTATCATCCATACAAAACAGTCTGTTCGTGAAAACAGCCATACTCTGGGTAGTCAAGGCCGAAAATGCCGCAGCCAAGAAATCTTTCTGAGACCGCATAAGCCAGGCGAAACCGAACACGAGGGAGGTAAGACCAATGGAGTAGGTCAGTGTTGTAGCTGTAAACTGCACTATATCCTTGGGCGGTTTCTTCTGGAAAGCCATAAATATGCTCATTAGCAGATCAAAGAACAAGTAGTCAATCAGCAGCAGCGCTAGTCCATAAATAGATACTAACATCCAAGCACCCGGCGCCGTATTAAAGAGTCGGTCAATGTAGCCGGTCAAGTCATAAGTCAAACAGGCCGCGTAGAAAGCGATAAGCCCAATCAAGATGTGTTTACCTATAATTAGCGATAAGTGAATGCATTGCATCCTTTTATCACTAATAGGTCGACTAGGAGCATCGACTTGAGGTACAGGCATCAGCATTTGGTTATAAAAAGGCATAAAGCTATACGAATATGGCTGGTAAGCACCAGTATTTTGTTCATATCCCCACATATTCTTATCTAAAATATAAATTTTGAATTTAGCATAATATTGGGTTTGTGTTGGGTTTGTGTAATATTAGATTGGAATGGTATTGTGTTAGTGTAATGTGATGTGATGTTGTGATGTGATGTGATGTGGCTGTGATATACTTGTGAGTCGTGGCAGGATTACAACGAGTTATAAGGACAGGGTAGTTGACAAAATCTGCTGGTAGATTGGGGTTAGTATGATAAAAATAGATGGCATGCGCCCAACTCAGCAAGTGCTTTATTTCGGTTGATAGCTCGGCACAGACAGGAGCGAGTGTCCGAACGGCCTAAGAAAGATTTAGGCTAGTGGTTGACCAGATTATAAACTCTTAGCTGACTTTTGTTCCAGGTAGGTAAGGTTGTTGTCCTTGATGGACTTCTGAATCACTTCAATGGGCGCAGACCTTCTGGTGAAACGAGGCTCAGGGTCTTGGAAGTTGCTGAGGTACTCAATCTTGAAGGTGATGGTGGTGTGCCCGTTTTGTAGCTCGTAGTCATAGATAGTGATATTCTTTTTGTTCTCGAGTTCTTTGTGCTTAATAAGTTCTGTTAGTGTGGTTCTTAGTTGCTGAACATTCTCTATCTTCATTTCTTCACTGATGATAATAGTAACCAGTTCTGATTGTATGTCACTACGGCGCATATTGAAGATGTTCTCCTTAATCAGCTCTTTGTTCGGAATGTAACAAACTGTGCCTCCACGCGAAGTAAAGGTACTGTACATCAGCTCAATACGCAGTACTGTCAACTCTTCACCCTTAGCCATAATTCGGTCTCCTACATCAAAGGGATGCTCATGCAACAAGAAGATAAAGTTGTTGAACACGTCCTTGATAATGTCCGAAAAGAGCCAACCCGAACTCATAATCAGCGGAATTATTCCTGCCATATACTTAATAGGATCAAACCCAATCAGCGGCGTACTAACAATCAAAGTAACTATGAGAGCCACCGATACCAAAATAGAGTCCAACTTACCCAGAAGATTGTCTCGGTCGTACAAAGTTCGTTTCAAATCAACCTTTTCCGAATAGGCCAACTTAGCTAGCTTAGCAAGTCCTTCCAAGGAAATCTCTTTAACCTCTTCATCGCCCTCAGGGCCCACGTGCGAAGTCAAGTAGGACCAAATGTCTTCCCAAGGCCCGCCAAAGGCACTGCGAATATGTTCTTCCGTAAGAGCCTCAACCCCAAGTTTCTGGTAGATGCTTTCAATAATCTCTTGGCAGTTGTTACTCGAGCGAATTTTGAAATCATCATAGTGCAACAAGAAACTATCATTAACTTCCAACCCAGCTAACAACTCAGTATTCAGCAGAATAGTGTTCTGCGTAAAAACAGCATCGGAATAGATCCATAATCGGCGCACAATCGATAATTTCAGATTTACATCTCCAATCCTACTGGAGAAGACGTTATTCCCGAAATAAGCCACAGTGATCTTCAAAAAGAACTTCTCCAGAATGAACATACCGGTCAGCAAGGCAAGACATAAGCAGTACCCGCCCAAACTTCCATACCCACTAGTTTCATTTGTTATCCAGTACTCGTCCAAAAACAGATTACAATGTACCACAGCAAGCAAGAAGAAAAAGAAGATAGCCAGGTAAGACCTTATATCGTTAGCAATAAAAAGAAACACTTTCGTATCTTTGGTTATCTTCTTGCCCATCAGCTGGTGAATCACCAATAACATATAAACCGTCTGGTTGAAGATCTCACGCAAGACCAAATAAGTAATGAAGAGCGCACTGAAGAACAAGGCCAGCTTAAAGTTCTTCTGATAACTAGTAATGTCTGGCTGCTCACTAATGGCCACAAACACTTTTGGCATGGGCTGTTTCTTTAATACCAGCGCCACTGAAGGTGCCACCATGATCAAAAAGGTACCAACCAGCAGATAGGCCAGCATAGCTAAGTAGAACCAGTGTCCTTTAAAGTTCGATTCAATGTACGACTCCACCGAGAAAATAGAAAACCCCTCCTTTTCGGTAGTCGAGATATTCTTCAAGTGTTTCCGCTTCTGTTCTTTAGCCGTCTCTAGTGACTTCTTCGCCTGCTCATCGGCCAAGGCCGCCTTAATGATTTCCTGGTTTGTCTCTTCCACATCCGACTCACTTCCCGACTTATCACTATCTTCGTTCTTATTGTTATCTCTCTTCTTCTGAGGTTTTGAGACGATTTTAAGCAATTTCTTGTTCTGGCTGTCATTGGGATCTTGACTTTCATTTCTAGATTCTGAATTAGCATTAGCGTTTTCCATCTTCTCTAGCTCTTGGTTATGGTCCATTAAAAATTCAAGGGTATTCTTATTGTGTCTTTAAAGGTCCAATTAATGATTGCATCTTCAACTTGACTGGTCATTGGTCGGCTAATCAGTGAATTGTTGGTTGGCCGTTAAATCAGAATTGAAGGCAATTTTTTTACGACCCAATGACTAATCTCAATGACTCATTTAATAACTATGGTTTAGATAACGATTTAGTTGGTGCCTGCACCAAAATGGGACTCTCCCAACCAACTCCCATTCAAAAATGCGTGTTTGAGGCCTTAAATCGCAAAAAAGACATTCTAGCTATCTCGGGAACGGGTACGGGGAAGACCATTGCCTTTGCCCTGCCGATTCTTCACCATCTACTTAAGGCCGACCGATATTTCTATGCTCTAGTCCTGCTACCTACACGAGAATTATCACAACAAGTACACAGTGTCTTCTGCGAACTAGGCAAGGAATTCGGACTACGCACTACTCTACTAATTGGCGGGGTCGACTTGTTAGTGCAGGGGAAGAGTTTAGCCGCACGACCGCACATAATAGTAGGTACACCCGGCCGCATAGCCTACCACTTCAAGAACACCAAAGGGATTCACTTAGACGCCTTTAAGTACCTGGTACTGGACGAGTGCGACCGATTACTTGATGGAGATTTTGAAGGCGAGGTAAAAGAGATTCTTGATATGATTGGGCCGAAAAGACTGAACTTTCTCTTTACCGCTACAATTACCAAGCGAGTAGCTAGCTTGAAGGCGAAAATGCTGAATGATCCATTGGTCTTTGAAACCAAAACAAGTGAAGGCGTTCCTGAAGACTTAGTACAGAATTATGTCTATTTACCCTTGCGGTACAAAGAAATCTACCTCTATGAAATCATCCGGACACTAGGCATGTCCAAAGCCATAGTCTTTGTTTCGACTTGTGTAGCAGCCGAGAAGTTAGAAAGACTCTTAGTCCGACTTGGCGAGTTAGTCTGTTCTATTCATGGGAGTAAGCCGCAACAGGAAAGAACGGCTATTATTGAAGCATTTAAGTCTGGGAGCAAGAATGTGCTAATAGCTACTGATGTGGTGGCACGAGGTATAGACATTCCAACGGTAAGGATAGTTATCAACTACGATATTCCTGAGTGTTCCAAGGACTATATTCATCGGGTGGGACGTACAGCCCGAGCTGGACAATCGGGTCGAGCTATTACTTTGGTTACGCAATACGATGTTGAGGACTTCCAGAAGCTAGAGATAAAACTCGGAACGCGCATGGCCGAGTATCAAATAGATACCAATAATATTACAGCACAAATAGATATGGTGGCCAGTGCCAAACGAGAAGCCGATCTAGAAATGAAAGAAGAAGGGGTTGGCCAGCGCATCAAAGACCACAAGAACCACAAGAAAGGCAAGCCCAAGTCAGTTGTCAAAAAAAGGAAGGCCGGACTTACTACCCGATCCGGTTCCTCTAAACAATAAACCACTTTAATATTAGCCGCAGTACATTTAGTTATCTTTAAGTTAGTATTTGATTAAGTCTAGCCCCGCTAAACTATAACTCCAGCCGATTTACTTTAGCGTCACCAAGTCCAGCACCCAGCACCACTCACTTTAGCCATTCATTACATGCTCATTATAACTTCAACTAACTTAACTCAACTCATCTAAATCCATTCTAAAATCACCATATCTAACTACTAACTTAATTAAAACATAACTAACTACTAACTTAATCAAATAACAACTTAATCAAACACTAACTACTAACTCAATTGGCTGTTTATTTAAAGGCAAGTGTTAAACCAGATGGGATTTAGCGTTTCTTCTGGGCGGCTCCAGAGACAATAGTTGAGTCAATGGAAAGAATTGCAATAGCCGCCGAGATAGAAGCCTGCATCATATGAGTTTTGATTTCCAAAGGCTCAATCACATAGGCCGAGAAAGAGTCTTCAACTCCCTCACTGGAAACTCCATAGTGCCGTAAACCTTCATGATGGGCTTTTCTCAGTAGTTGTACCGTCTGGATAGCATCATGACCAAAGTTCTTCGCTAGTTGGAATGGAATCACTTCAAAAGCTTCCGAAAGAGCTTGAACCACGAACTTCTCAGCCGTTTCTAACTGAGCAGCATACTCTCTTAACTCCCGACTTATCTCCATTTCAAAAGCACCACCTCCTGAAACAATCTCTTTCTTACTAGCCGTCCGTCGTGTTACCGACATTGAATCGTGCAGACTCCTTTCTACTTCCGCCAAGATCTCAGAACCAGGTCCACGTAAGATAATCGTACAGACATCTTCTTTGCGCTCACTCTTATTCTCAGTATTATAGAAGAAGTTAAACCGAGTCCGGCCTATCTCTTTCTCTTCAAACAGTACACACTGAGTCGCTAAAGTCGCTTCGGATAACAAAGAAACCGTACTAACCATACGTCCACCAAATGCATGAACAATCCGAGCTGCTTCCTCTTCCGGCACTCGACCAGCCGAGAAGACCGCATGCTTAGCAAAGTACTGAGTGGCATAATCACCAATCGGTAAAGTACTTAGAACTACATTAGCACCCGTACTAATAATCTTATCTAAACGATCAGTAATTAACTTCCACTCAGCCGAAACAACCTTAGCATACTCTTCAGCCCCAGAAATTCGCATCTCACTATTCTCCACTTCACTTTTCCACTCCAACTCTATCTTTAAAATAGCTATCTTTGGATTACTAATCCGTTTAGGCTGTTGTTCATAACCGGCATAAGTAAAACACTTGGCAAAAGCCACTCCATCCACTAAAAAGCTACTTTCAATCGAACCCCCACTTATTTTCTTAACTGAAACATCAGCATCTTTAGCCTGTAAAGTCTTAAGCACCATTTCACCAAAGTGTTTCTTGTAGCGACAAAGAATCTTAGAGTTCAAACTAGTCTCAGCTAGCATTTGCAAAGACTCACGATGGAATGAAGCCAACTGCTCTCTAGCTTTTTCATGGACTAGTTTAGCCATCTTTTCTAAAGTCTTAATTATCAGACCAATCGGCATGTTTTCCTTAACCAGTTTCTTAACCTTCTTCAGAATAGCCGAAGAGAGAAGAACTACACTAGTTGTACCATCACCAATATCTTTATCTTGAGATTCCGAAATGCTAAGCAGTACTTTAGCTGCTGGGTCAACAATATCCAGACTTTTCATGATAGTAGCTCCATCATTAGTAATTAACATATCTCGGCCGTTAAAAAACATCTTATCTAGACCATGTGGACCTAAAGTACTCTTCAAAATATTAGCTATCTTCTCACACATTTCAATATTACGTATTACTTGATTAATACCAAAACGAGTATCTGTTTCTTCCTTCAGAATCAGAATAGGCGCATTGTGTGTTGAAGAACTCATGAAAAATAAAAAAGGAACGATTAACTGGGTATTTAAGACGTGAATTAGATCTTAGATTAGATATTTAGCTTTAGATTTATGTTGTCTATCAATCCCTGAAGTTTGGAGCGATTTAGATTGGGTTTTGAATGGTTTTGAGTTGAGTTAAGTTAAGTAAAGTGGAGTGGAGTTAAGTGAGGTAGAGTAAAGTGGAGTTAAGTGGAGTAGAGTGGAGTTGAGTTGAGTAGATTAAAGTGGAGTTAAGTAAAGTTAATCTTAAAATACGTGTTTATTGAGTAGAGTAGAGTTTGGTATTAGGTTGAGTTGAGTTGAGTTAGAGTTTGGGTTAGTATTATAGTGAAGTAGTAAGCTGAGTTAGTTTTTGGAATTTGAATTTGAATTTGAGTTAGTTTTGGGAATTTGAAATTGAGATTGAAAATAAAATATATTATGACGTCATAAGTTAAGATATACTACCATAATCCCAATCTAACCTACCACAACCCTACCACAACCCAACACCAACCACAACCCTACCCCATCACAATGTAATAAAGAATCACATAACATCTTCTATTTCATCATCTGATTCCATTTCGTCATCATCTAGGTAGGCCGCCATATAATCATTCTCTTCTGATTCTTCTTCTTTCTGACTAGTACTGGCTTCTGACTCTTCTACTTCACTATTAATCTCGGCCTCTTGCATGAACAGAGCTTTAATTGAAGCGCCTTTACTTTGACACTTAACTCCATGGCCAAATCCAAGTTTGACTAGTTCTTGGGGATACTCTTCGGAATTTTCTATCAAAGCTGGAATTAAGTTCACTGTGCCATCCTGGTTTTGACGATACTTATCCGAGTACCTTTCAATAGCTCTTTCCTTCTCTTTACTTATACCAAGATAGCGATATTGATCGGCTAATGCCTCGAGTACTTTTCGCATTTATTTTTGTGGTGTTTACTCACTATGAAAGGCGACTTAATGGTTATTCTTGATAATTCCATGTACAGTATCAATAAGGACTATACTAAAGAAAGATTAGATTGTCAAATTGAAGTTACTAAGTGTATTGTTGATAAAAGACTTGCTGAATCAACTGAATCTACCGTTGGAGTTATGTCTTTAGGCCGTAGTACTACCATTAAGATAGTATCACCAACTAGTGATAAGAATACTATCTGTTCTTATCTTTACTCCTTACAAAGAGATAATGATATTCAACCAGGTAATAGTCTTTCTATCGCTAGAATGGCTCTTAAGTACCGCACTAACCAATCACAAGCCATTCTTCTTTTCTTGGGTTCACCACTAGATGATACAAGTCTGACTGATATTGTTGTAGCCATTGAGAATATCTTGAATAACAATGTAGCCGTTCGTGTAGTTCTATTTGGTGAAGCCATTGAGTACTATACTCTACTTAAAAGTTCAATCGAAGAGTGCAGTGACTTTACTTGTGTCACCATTACACCACAAGACTCTTTCCTAGATGGAGTAGCTACAGCTCTACGTGAGAGTGTCCAAGAAACAGATCCAGAACTTGAACTAGCCATTCGTCGCTCCCTTCAAGATGCTGAAGACCCCGAAGTCCAGAAAGCCATCAAAGAATCCCTTCAAGACGGCTAACTATTCACTCAATAAAGCACTCTAACACCTCATTAGATTAGATTGGTATTCGTTTTAGTATTCTTATTGATATCTTTACTTATCTCTACTTACTTTACTAATCTATATCTACTTATCTCTACTAATCTCTACTCATATCTACTAACCCAATACCAACCCAATACAATGGACATATACTCATATACTACATAATCATATCAATTTATTAACACTAGCTACAAGTAACATACTCATCTACTCATCTACTTATATACCCAGATACTTATATCTACAAACAACATACTCATCTACTCAGATACCTATATACTTATATCTACAAATAACATACTCATCTACTTATATCTACAAAGAAGACAATCTCAACTTAACCCATATCAAAATCAAAACAAACCCCACTCAACCCAACTCATATCTAAATCAAAATCAAAACCAAACCCAACTCATATCTAAACTAAATAATAAAGCACTTTATTATCTTGAGGTCTTCTCCTTCTTACCCAGATAGATAGCCATAAGAGAAACATCCCCTATCTTACTGACTTTGAAAGAAATCCCTGGAATATCTCCCTTTGATCTTCCTCGATTACCAAAACCTTCAACTGTTACTGTATCGTTAATCTCAATACTATTAAGCATACCGTCTTTAGGGACATAAGCAGTGATCTTCTTCCCGTTCTTAATCAACTGAATACGAACAGCTTTTCTAACGGCTGAATTAGGCTGTTTAGCTCCTAATCCTATCTTTTCCAGAACAATTCCTTTGGCTTGAGGTGCTCCTCTAATAGGATCATGAAGCATTCTAGTTCTTAAAATTCGAGCTCTGAATTTTGGATCTGCCTTACGTTTGATATGAGCTTTGTTCTTAAGTATTCCACCACAGTAGAGTCCGAGCATGGGGAGAGAAATAAAAAGAAAATTTAAGACTAGGGGGTAGATATCTTGCGATAAGCAATTGCTTGGTAAAGTTCGATGATTTGCATTTCTTCTTTAGATGGAGTATGTTTAACCATTCTTTTATAAGTATTTTGATCATTTCTTATCTCTTCATTAAGAATATCTAAAAAATCTTTAGATAAGATAGGAAAAATACCTAATTTAGCAAGTTTTGAGTTTAAGATCTGAAGATTAACTAAGTATTCTTGGCAGCCTTCAATTGCTTCTTCTAAATAGAAAGTATAAGCTCTGTTGTATTCCTGATGGGTAAGGAAGGAAGGAGAAGCTTCCACTCGGTAAAGGGAATTACCAAATGGATGGAGTGGAATGGAGTTGTTATTATTATTAGTAGTAGTAGTAGTAGAGATAGTATTATTAGTAGTAGAGATAGTATTGTTATCATTATTAGAAGTAGTAGAGATATTGTTATCATTATTAGATGTAGTAGAGATAGTAGAGTTAAGATTGTTAATATTAGAGATAGTATTAGTAGTAGTAGAGATAAGATTGTTAGTAGAGTTAATATTGTTAATATTGTTATCATTATTGTTAGTAGTAGAGATAAGATTATTAAGATCTACATTATCATTATCATTAGTAGTAGTAGATGAAGTAGTAGTAGTAGAGTTAGGGGGAGGAATGATGAGGGATGGATTATTACGGGCTAGGCGGCGGTGGATAGTATTGGGATTAGGAATAGTAGCTAAGAAGATACCATTAGGGGCTAAATTAGTAGATACGTTTTTAATAGCCTTATCTAAAGTAGTTTCATTTTGAAAAGCATAATGAAAACTAAACTGAGCCATAACTAGATTAGCTTTAGATTCTAAACGGATGTTTTGACGAGTAAAATCAGCTACTAAGAAATCAGCTTTAAACTTATGAGATTTTGATCTTTCAATAGCTTCTTCAATTGATTTATCAGCTATATCACAACCATAATAATGTTTCATAGGTAGAAACTTGATTTTAGAAAGATCTCCACCCTTACCACAACCAAGATCAAAGATAATATTGTTTTTGTTTGCATATTTTTGTATCAATTTACACTTAATAAAGTTATTGATTTCACGAACACTTATTATTTTTGAATTTGGACGCTTATCTAAACCTACACCAGATAAACGATTATAATGACGTGCTACATTTTGACTATCCATTAAAAAATTTATGAAATCTCGATTAACTCCGATTAAAGAACTCATTCCAGAGATTCGTAGATATGCTGCTGGTCAAATAGGAGGTGGGGAGACGATTAGGTGCTTAAGGGATACTTTGGCACAGCGTGGCTTGAAATTTCCAAAACGAAACATTCCATATCGCCATCAGAAAGTCATAAGAGAAAGAAATAAGAATGAATTTGAACAAGAAAGAGAGTCATTGCGTGAACAAGGGATTATTATCAAGAGATCTAGAGATAAGAAAGAAGATATGAAGAGAAAAAGACGAGCTGCTTTTTGATTTAGATTAGATTGAGCTGAGTTTAGATTTGGTTTAGTATTGAGTTTAGATTGAGTTTAGATTGCGTCAAGTTGAGTCAAGTTGAATTTAGTTTGCGTCTCTTAATGTGCTTGGAATATCATGACTTGGAATAGTATTGGGTTAGTATTGAGTTGAGTAGAGTACTAAGTTGAGTACTAAGTTGGAATACTAACATAATACTAACTTTAATACTAAGTTGCGGTTAAATAAAGGTATATTTGAGTTTACTTACTTTCTATTACATCTTATGGTTAAGAGTTCTAGACCTAAACTATCTTAAACCATCTTAAACCATTCTAAACCATCTCATTGTTATCTTACTACTAACTTAAGACTTCACTACACTTGAGACTTTACATTGATTTACTGTACTCCAGAAGAACTACTGACTTAACATCCAATTCAGTTAATCAAATGCCAACTAAGTTAATCAAATACCCATTCAGTTAATCAAATACCAACCCAATACCAACCAAATCCTAACTCAATACTAACACGTCATTTTTATATGACTTAAACAAAACTTACTCCTTACTCATATTTGACTTACCCCAACTTAATGCTTTATTTAACTTATACTCACCTTAATACAATCTAACTCACCTCATACTCACCTTACCATACTCAATACTTTACTTTACTTAACTCAACCCAATAAATTACCAAAAAAGGAAATATTTTCCCAATTCCAAAAACTAGTTCAAATTTATGTCATCCAAATTAACACGTCCTACCCAGGAATAGAAAGACTCCCTAGTCCTCTCCCGGCCTAAATACCTCTATCTCACCCAATTCCGACCTAAAAATAAACCCAAAATAAACCAAAACAAAACAACAATCTAATTCAACTCAAACCTAACTCAAACACAACTCAGTACTTACCTTATTAGTCTCTTTTTTTCTTTGTAAATAAACATGGCACTAACCGGGAATACTATGCTCGCCAATGGCCCTTCAACAATGCTTATTGATTCAATCAAATCCGAAGTCGAAAAAGTCCGCTTGAAAGATCTTTTGTATGTTGTCTTCTGTTTTGATAAGTGTGGAACCCAATTAGTGGTTAAAGAGGCTAAAGAGAATCCTAGTCGTAATGATAAGTTGGCCCTTAAGAAGGAAGAAGTCCTTCGGGAACGTTTTGCTACTTTCAAAACTCTAATTAGGAGTTTGGGTGGTTGCTATGCTATTTTTGATTTTGAAACGGGAGCTGAATGTGGCACCCCTCGTTCTATCTTCTTTTTAGTGATCGTTGTTCCTGATGATTTGGATGTCCGTACTCGTTTTCTCTACTCTTCTAATGCCCAGAAGATTGCTGATCAAGTAGGTATTGCCGTTAAGCAAGTACAAATTAACCAACATGACGATCTGACTTACGACTATCTGAAACAGATGTGTCTTTCCTTGAAAAAAGGCTAAGTATCCATTGGTTAGTCTGGGATTGATATGTGGCCAGGCCAGGGGTAGTTTATGGCCGAGAAGAAAGAGATGCACAGAGCTAAAGTCGTGGTAATTGGCGATGGTGCCTGTGGGAAGACTTGTTTCCTCGAAGTTTACAAATCGGGTGTTTTCCCGGAAGACTATGTACCCACTATTGTTGATAACTTTGTTATGCGCGAAACAGTCAACAACCATGAAGTAGTTCTGACACTTTGGGATACTTCAGGTCAAGATGAATACGATGCTTTACGCCCACTTTCCTACAGTAACGCTAATCTTATCATTATCTGCTATTCCATTGAAAGAAGAGAAATGCTGGAGAATATTGAAGAGAAGTGGCTGACTGAAATTCAAAATCTTTGTAAGAATGTGCCCTACTTCCTAGTCGGTCTGAAAGAAGACATCAGAGAAGCCGCTTCACCCGCCCAAGCTGCCTCCTACGTATCTACCGAAGAAGGAGCCGCCCTAGCCCAGAAAATCGGAGCGAAACACTTTGTGGAATGTTCAGCTTTAACCCGAAAAAACATCAAGGAAACTTTCGCCGAAATCGCCCAATATGTGGTGAAACACAAAGCCGAAACGAAGTCCGGGGGTGGTTTTAAGCTGTTCTGGTGCTGTTAAATATTCTTTTTCCTTGTCACCCATGGAATACACAGCAAAACCGATTGGAATGCAATATACTGATAAGCATGCAGTTTACATAATGCGTGATTCAGCCATTATTTCGCCTTTTCATGACATTCCCATTGATTTGGATGAGGAGAAGCATATGGTTACCGCTATTACTGAAATCCCACGCTTTTCCAATGCCAAATTGGAAATTCACAAGCAGACTTCTTACAATCCCATTAAGCAGGACCTGGATAAGCAAGGGCAGCCCAGATTTGTGCAGAACCTCTTCCCAAAGAAAGGGTACTTATGGAATTATGGGGCTATTCCTCAGACTTGGGAAAGTACTGAGGTCAAAGACAGTACGACTGATTACCTGGGGGATAATGATCCGATTGATGTGATTGAAATTGGCGAGGCCGTTCTAGCGACTGGTACTGTTTATCGGGCTAAGATTCTTGGGGCATTAGCTATGATTGATGGGGGTGAGTGTGATTGGAAAGTGATTGTGATCCGGGAAGGTGATCCTTTGTTTGCTAGTCTTAATGGTCTAGCCGATATTGAGAAGTACTTGCCTGGGTTCTTAGGAGCGACTCGGGAGTGGTTTAGGGATTATAAACTACCGGCTGGGAGTCCTCCTAATGAATTTGCCTTGAATGGCGAGTACTTGGATGCCGCTAAGGCCGTGAGTATTGTTAAGGAGACGCACGTGCACTGGCAAGGTCTTATCAAAGAAGCAAAGCATGAAGGTATTTCTTTACTTAATCGCACTATCACTGGTACGCCAGGCTATACAAAGGATGAGTTTACTCCTGATAATCTGGAATTTGTTCCAGCTACTACCGAGCCCCTTTCGGCCCAGAAGTTCTACTATCCCATGGAATAAATAGTTACTAGTGGTCAATTCAGCCCTACTTTCTACCAATTATGTCTTATAGACTACTATGATAATTATACTGTGTTTATTTCTAATTGCACCATCTATTAAGTTGGTATTAAGTTAGTATGTGGGTTCTTATCTAATTATGGGTTTTTATCTGGTTATCTCTACTAAGACTATAAGTATGTTGTATAAGATGAATGTCACTCACTAGTTTATACTAACTCAATGAAGATAGTTGGTTATACTAGCCAGATCTTAGTTGGACTTGATGATGTCATCAGAAGATTATAAAGTATAAATAAAGATGACGTCACTAAATACATTGTAATTTCACCCCAACTCAACCCAATACTAACTCAACTCAACCAAGATAATTAGTCCTTAATTCAACCTAAGCTTTACTTGAACAGTCTTCCCGGCCATAGCACTAATGCCATCTCAATCCAACTCAATCCAACTCAACTCAATCCAAACTCAATTTCCGACTAATTAAGCCAACTTAAGACTAATTAGCTCCATTGCTAATTGCCAGACTAATTTAAGAGACCAACAAGCCAACTTAGTACTATCTTATTATTATCCTAACTCAACCTACTACTCACCTTACTCAACACATCCCCACCTAACTCAATCCTAACCTAACCTTAGTACATAGACAATCAAACTGTACAGGCGTGGCGTAATGGTAACGCGTCTGACTTCGGATCAGAAGATTTGCGGGTTCGAGTCCCGTCGCCTGTGTTCTTTTTGCAATTTTTGTGGTAAGCCATGGACCAAGATAATCCTTTGCGCTGGCAACGAATGAATTCCCTGGTTGAGCAAATAGAATCACGTACTAACAACATACATCGAGCTATCAAAAGCAGCAGCACTCAATTGGCTGAAATTCTCATGAAAGAGACTGGAGATGATAAGAATAAGAATGAAACTATTCTGCAATTACAAGAAGAAGTCCGTACTTTACAACAACGCTGTTTAGATCTAGAAAATCAAATACTTCTTCAACCCTTATCTTCTTCTCTTTCAAACTTATCAAAATCAAAATTAAGTTCAGATAAGGATCAAAATCAAGATCTAGATAAGAATTTATATCTAAAACAAAATCTAGATAAAGAAAGACAAAAATGGCAATCTCAACTTACTAACTTACAATCTCAACTCTCTCAAGAAGAGTCTGCCTTCCTTAAGTACCGAGAAGAGACTGAAGATAAGATAAGAAGAATGCTAGAAGAGTTGTTAGGATTAAAAGGTCAGATTAGATCTATTTGTCGGATTAAACCATTTAGTTGTACTTTACCCTTAGGATTTACTAATGATCGTATAAGTTTGCCTAGTAAGTCGTTAGAGTTTGGCTTTGCTTCGGTCTTAGGACCTACTGCTAGTCAAACTGAAGTCTTCTTACAAGTTGAAGATCTTATCTTTTCGGTAACTAAAGGGTATCGTGTTAGTTTATTGGCTTACGGCCCGACCGGTTCTGGTAAGACTTATACTATGGCTGGAACATCGACTGAACCGGGTATTGTACCACGGGCTTTAGACTTACTAGCTAGGGAGTTAGAGCGCTTAGAAGGTCTGGGATGGGAAGTAAGAGTTAAGCCTAGTACTTTAGAGGTTTATAATGATAAGATAGTGAGTGAACAAAAAGGTGATTATTCTCGAGGAGTAGAAGAAGCTCAAGTTATGTTTCAAGGGGCAGCTAGTAGTCGTAGAGTAGGTAGTACGGCTTGTAATACTAGGAGTAGTCGTAGTCATTTACTGGTTCAACTTGAGGTTAACTTAAGTAGGAGGAGTAATAGTCAGTGGGAAGAGATTAAGGGAGTACTTTGTATTGTTGATTTAGCCGGTTCAGAAAGAGTATCTCAATCAAAAGCGGAAGGAATTAGATTGCAAGAGACTGGTCAGATTAACAAAAGCTTATCGGCTCTTGGTGATGTAGTAGCAGCTATTCAGCAGAAATCAGCTCATATTCCCTATCGTAATTCTCAACTAACTCGCCTCTTACAAAGTACTTTAGGTAGTGGAGCTAAAACTGCCTTCCTTTTTAACATTGATCCAGGGGTTAGTTTGGCCGAGACTGTAGTTACTTTGCGTTTCTCACAAAGAGTACAAGCCTGTCAACTAGGCCCACAAAGAGTAACTACTAGTACTTATACCCATCAATAAATTGACTCTAAGTTAAGATAAGTATTGTATTGAGTTGAGTTAAGTTGTGTTAAGATAAGATTGTGTTGAGTTAGGTTATTATACCAACTCAATACTTAACTAATACTTAACTAATGCATCCTCTATTAAAGATAGTACTTGAGATAAGTGTGAGTGCCATTTATTGAATAAATAAAGTTGAGTGAGTATGACGTCATATTAAGTTAGTATTAGTATGAGTATTAGTTTAGTGCTAGTAAGTAGTGTGTACTAAGTAGTGTGTACTAAGTAGTAATCAAGTTGAGAGTGGTAGTCTTGGGTTCGTATTGTGTTCGTATGACAGCATTCCAGTTTGTGTTAAGTTAAGATTAAGTTGAGTTTATGTTAAGATTAAGTTGAGATAAGATAATGAACTAATCTAATACTAAGATAACATAACAAGATAAGATAAGATAAGATAAGATAATAGAAATACGTTTATTGCATACTTGGCAGGTAGTAAGTACTAATGAGATAGTCGTACTCTATGTAAATAAGTAAGAAGTAAGTAGTAGTGACTTAGTAGTCATCACCTTTAGAAAGAACTTCAATCCCTCCCTCCTTCACAAAGAGAGTATGTTCAAATTGAGCCACTAAACTACCCGGACTATCACAAAGGGGAGGATATCCTTCTACTCCACCTGCTTTCTCCAACTGCTTTAGATAAACATCAGCACACTTAATCTCAGGACCAATATACCTCTTACAGAAAGGTAAACCATTAAACTTATCTTGAATATAAGTCTGTAAAGTCTTAACTCCTTCCAGACGAGAATTGACTTTCTTATTAGTAGCCATATAATGAGAACAATCACCTTTTTCCACCACTAAACCATTCCCAGTTGTAGCAAAGGTTTCAAAAGCATAAAACTCACCTACTTCCATTCTATCCCTATTCCCAGACCTTTTCACAATCGGCACATACTTACCCCCATGAATTTTAAACCGGTTAATCGTATGACCATTTAAGTTAGCTACTGGTCTAATGGGAACAGTTCGACCATCAATAGTTAGTTCATAACTCCTAATTACTTCATCAGCCGTTTCTCCAATCAAATCCAGGGGTACATCAGGTCCAGCTATCTTTAAACAAGCATAAACAGACTCACGAGCAGCTAGAAGAAGATTCTCATACTCAGGATTGAAAGTTACTGTAAAGGCTGAATCTATAATGTATCCATCTACTTGCGTACCAAAATCTACTTTAAGTACATCATTAGCTGATAAGAGAGTAGGTTTTGATTTGGGATTGGGTGTATCATGGGCAGCACAGGAATTAAGAGAAAGTCCAGTTGGGAATCCTATTCCCTGATTGTATCCTTGGCCTAGTAAGATCTTAGTTGAACTTTCGATTATCTCGGCTATCTCTAAAAGACTCATTCCCGGCTGAATCTGGTCTTGTAGTACTCCTCGGGCTCTTCTATGGGCTTCGGCTGCTATTTTGGCCGCTTCAAGTCGGTCTAAGGTGGCTATTTCGGCTGAATATGACTTAGGTAATAAACATTCTAGGGAATATTTCACTTTCGGCGTAAGAACAATTGGGCGCATAGTATTACTCATAAAAACTAAAAAACATCTGGGGATTTACGTTGTATTTTCAGCCTAAAAAATCTCCTGAGATGGAGTCGAACCATCGACCTCGCGATAACCCCGATGAAGGCACATCTCTACAGTCGCATGCTCTACCACTGAGCTATCAGGAGCCGATAAGATCGAGGGTTGGTAGATAGGGGGATTAAGATAAGAGGGAGTATAAATAGATCGAAAAAATTGCGGGGATGAGCTTATCGGAACAGAAGATCTTAGAACAACTAGGGATTGTAGGTGCACGTAAAGTATGGATTACAGGTCATATTTTGCCCAAAAGTAGATCTGTTTTTTTACCTAATCAGGAAAGTACTGATTTGTACATAAGAAAGCGCATTGAACGTTTTGCCGGGGATGAAGAGTACTTTTGGCCTTTGTTAAGAACGTTTACAACTAGTGAGTTTGTAGGAATGATTGTTAAAGTTGGTCTATCTTGGTTTTTGTTTTGTTTAGATAAGAATTTAATGAGTAAGGTTTTGGTTAAGCTTAATTTCAGTCATTATAATGAAGAGAAGGTTCTTTATGATGGCCAAATAGTCCAGGTAGTCGGTTCGAATCCAACAGGTCATGAGATTTTAGTGTCTGACTTAAAGTATACTTTAGGAGCTGTTACTGAAGCTGAACATGATTTGACTAGAAAAGAAGAGTATAGGCTTAAGATTGTAGATTTAACTGTGACTGGTGGTGAGTTTAGTTTGGGATTATTAGGGGGTAGATATGACGTCATAGTAGTGATTGGAGATTTAAGTGTCCAGGAAAGAAGTGAGTGTAAGCAATGGTCTGTTCGGGAACGAGTTAGTGTAATTTGTATGCCTGGTTTAGGTGGACTTCATTCAACTATGGTTGTACCGGCTGTATTTACGCAAGGTATATCTTCATTTTGGCAGCAACATACGGTTAGTTTAGTGGCGGGTGAACGAACGGAAGAAGGTCCTTCTTTTTGGGAGGTATCTAATCCGGCTATTTTATATCTTAATGGGACAAGTGTAGGTTTATCTTCTTTAGATGCAATTAGTGAGATTCAAAAGAGAGAAGAGATAAGTAGTAATAGTTCATTTCGGAATGCCATGATTCACTATCGCTTACAGAGTAGTTTTTTACCTTACTTAAGTCCGGATGATCCAGTTGATTACTCTCGACCTGAATACTTTATTTGGCCGCACAATCTTGATATTATCATAGTACGTAATCAAAATTTAACTAGAACGTATCTAGAAGATGGCATGCATATTATTCCTATGCAAAAACCAGAAGCTACCTATCACATTCGCTTTACATCTAAAGATCCAACTACCCTACAAGTTGAGCAAGTTAAGTAAATTATCAAGTTAAGTTTAGTTTAGTTTGAGTTGAGTTGAGTTTAGGTTGAGTTTAAGTTGAGTTTAGTGCCGTAATACAACTACTATACTAACCTGGTTACTGGCAAGTTACTCACTACTTAGTATTTAGTACTTACTAACACTAATACTAAACTAATACTTAACTAATACTAACTTAATATGACGTCATACTCACTCAACTTTATTTATTCAATAAATGGCACTCACACTTATCTCAAGTACTATCTTTAATGGAGTATTGAGTTGAGTATTGAGTTAGGATTGGGTTGGGATTGAGTTAAGTTCTAGGGTCTGAGATCCACTTAGTTCATCTCCAAACATGACCTAATACTAACCCAATAAGATCATATTAAAGAAAGAGTCTTATTTAGACCAGATCTAGACCAGACTATAAGAGGTATAAATAGGAAGAGGTTTAATAAATACATTGTTGTTTCCCGGCTAGAGCAAGACAAGTGTACTACCTCTTGTACTTAGATCTAGAGGGTCAGCATCCTATGACGTCATCTTATTTTAATCACATCTTAACTTGGTACAATCTCATTTCGTCTCAACTTACTACAATCTCATTTCGTCTTAACTTAGTACAATCTCATCCCATCTTAACTCTAACTTACTACAATCTCAACCCAACTCTAACATAGCATATCATAGCATATCATAACTCATCTCAACTCAACCCAAACCCACCCCAATCATATCACAACTTAACTTAACTTAACTTAAAACTAAAATCAAAACATAACTCAACTCGAATTCATATTAAATCCAATTTGAATCCATTTTAAACTATCTATCCAGATTTCAATTTATTTTCAATGGACGCAATCGGAGTTTATCGTGCCCAAATAAGAGAGTTCTTTGAAAGGGCTAAAGGTGAAAAACGATATAAAAGTGAGTTGCTAAGTATGCCTCCACCTAAACGTTTGATTATTTATCTGAGTGATATCAGAAAGTTTAGTAAAGAATTAGCTGATTTACTCAGAGAAAGAGCTTCTTTCCTTTTACCAGCGATTGAAGAGATAGCATCAGAGATAGCACAAGTTTCCGTTAAAATAGGACTTAGTGGAGTAGTAGGTGGTGGTAGAATAGGTCCACGTGGTTTAAATTCTTCTATGTTGGGTAAACTAGTCTGTGTTGAAGGTATTGTTACTAGTGCTTCTATTGTTAGACCTAAGATCAAGCAAAGTGTTCATTATAACGCGAAAGGTAACTTGTTTGTATATAAAGAGTACCGAGATCTTAAGAATCTAAGTTTACTTCCACCTACTTCAATTGCTCTGCCTAAATACTCTCTTGAAGGTAATAAACTGGATTTAGAGTATGGATTAAGTGAGTATATTGCCCATCAAAGTGGAGTTCTGCAGGAAATGCCAGAACTAGCTCCACCTGGACAAATGCCTCGTGGAGTTTCTTTAGTACTAGAAGATGATTTAGCTGGACTTATTAAACCGGGTGATCGTGTGCGAGTTTATGGTGTATTTAAGTGTATCTCTTATGTAAGGAGTGCTTCTGATTTACTGAGGACGGCATTGATTGCTAATAATATCGAGTTAGTAGGTAAGGAAGGGGGGAAAGAGACAGTTACAACGGCAGTTCTGGACTTAGCGAGGAAGGAAGGACTGACTGGATTAGCTCGGAATGTCGCTCCTTCTATTTATGGCCATGAAGCGGTTAAGAAGGCCTTATTACTTATGCTGGTTGGTGGTAGTGCAGTACATACTGAGAGTGGTGGGTATATTCGAGGGGATATTAATGTCCTGATGGTTGGTGATCCAGGGATTGCTAAGAGTCAAATGTTAAGGTATGTACTGGATATTGCTCCTTTAGCAGTAGGTACGACTGGTCGAGGGGCCTCTGGAGTAGGTTTAACAGCAGCGGTTGTAAGTAATCCGGATACAGGGCTAAGACAAGTGGAGGCTGGGGCTATGGTTTTAGCAGATACGGGTATAGTTTGTATCGATGAGTTTGATAAGATGGATGAGAGTGAAAGAGCGGCTATTCATGAAGCTATGGAACAACAAAGTGTGACTATTGCTAAAGGGGGAGTACATACTACGCTTAATGCTCGCTGTTCAGTCTTAGCAGCTGCTAATCCGGTTTCTGGCCAGTATCGAGTGGGTTTATCACCTAAAGATAACATTAGAATGCCGGAGAGTTTATTGACTCGATTTGACTTGATTTTCCTGATGGAAGATAGTACTGAGTATGATGCTGAAATTGCTGAGCATGTTCTGAAACGAAGAATGGGCCGATCGGCCTCCGTCCAAATGATTAGTCAGATGGAAATGAAAGCTTACATTCAGTATGCCAAGGAGTTGCAGCCGGTCTTAAGTGAAGAAGCTTCGGCTAAGATATCTAGTGAGTACGTGCGGATGCGGGTGGAAGGGGAGAAGAATCGAACTAATTTAGCCCGGGGAGTGACAGCCCGTTTACTTGAGAGTATTATTAGACTGGCTACAGCTTTTGCTAAGATAAGATTGGCTGAGGAAGTTGAAGTTATTGATGTTGATTCGGCAGTTGATCTTTTAGAACCTACTTTATGGCGTAAATCTATTCGGCCGAAAGCAAGTGCTAATACGGCTGAACCAGAAGATTTAGCTGAGATTCTCTTTGCGTATCGTAAGGCTAATCCTCATGATATGATTGTTTCACTGGAGAAAGTCGTATCATTATGTGGTGGCGATCGTGAAGAAGTCTTAAGAAGTCTAAATGAGCTGGAGAAGGAGAATGTTCTTTTTGTCAATGAAGGTATGGTTGCTTTCCGCTAAGAAGACTAGTTAACTATTATCTAATTGATACTTAATTGACTTCTTAGTTATCTAATTGACTTTTTGGTTAATTCGATTACTAGGAGGTATATTATAGGATGATTCTTAATTTTAACAATCAAATGATTAGATTGGATTTAAATCAATGGATGGCCATAGTAGATCATTCAATAACTCAATAAACATTTCAAGCTAATTCATCTTCTAGTTAGTTCATTTAACAGCTAAGTAATTTAACATTCAAAGTCTATCAATGGAG